GGCGCTGGGAGTTGCGCTGGTGCTGATCGCAACGGCGTTGATGCTGGTGTTGGTGGTGGTGCTGGTGTTGATGCTGGTCGCCGTGTGGACGCTGGCCAGTCTGCTGGTGGCCAGTCGCGCCCAGTGCCCGCACGCCGCCCATGCTGCTAGCACCGCCCCCCGCTCCACCGTTGCCATTGCCGCCCCTCCCCTCCACGCCTCCACTGCCGCCCCTCCCCGTTCTTCTTACCATGATGCCACTGCCGTCCCTCTCACCGCACTGCTCGATGAGTGCGCTGATGAACGTGATGTCGTGTCTCGCGGGGTCTCTGATGTTGTTGCCGAACGTCATGCAGTACGCGCCCCACTGCTCCTTGGCGACAGGATCACTCCTTTGCATCTGCTTGATTTGGTCCACCATGGCCCTTCTTGACATCAGCTCGGTCGCCGTCCGCGGGGGCAGGCGAGGCCGCCATCCGTGGGAGAAGGGCTCGGCGCCGCTGGCCGCCGTCGCTTCGGCAGCCGATGGCACCGCCGCAGCCATCCGTCCGGCGCTCCGCATCCCCCAGGCGGCGCGCACGGCAAGGCTTGAGCCAGAGCTACGGACGCTGTTGGGGAAACGCGAAGCGTCAATAATTGTTTTCATATGCTTGCGGCATTGGCGGAAGTTCGGGCGCGGGGAGTGGATCAATGTCACGGAATGCCTCGATCAGCGCTCCTCTCGCCGTTCTCCGCGGGCGAGGGCCTACCAGCGCAGGTCGCAGTGCCTTGAGGTCTCGACCTCCCTGTCTCCTCGTACTGCGGGCTGCCTCGAGGTCCAGCCGCCTGCTGTGGGCCGCCGTGCCGTGGTCGGCCAGCTCGCCATGCAGCACGATTTCCATGAGGCAGTGCCTGCGGTTGTGGCGGAGATGTCGGGCTAGCTGCCCGCGTGTAGAAAAAACCTGTTTTGCATACTTGGCATTCCGTGCCGATGGCAGCCCTTTGCGCCATGCCAATCGGGTCGTGTACGACTGCTCGATGGGTTTTCCACCCCGCGACTGACTTGGTCACCTCTCCGCACTCGTACCAGATGTACTGCTTCTTGTCCGTCGGTGGTTCCTTGGGTAGGATACCCGCCTGCCGCTGCAGCTCCGTGAGTGTTGCTTGCCATTGGAGTACACGTGACTGCTCTGCATCGTGGGCTCTGCTTCTTGCCAAGGTCGCCGCGCAACGGGTCAGGAAATCCCGTGGGCATTCACGAGCGTAGGCGACCCTCCTCCTCCTCCTCCTCCTCCTCCTCCTCCTCCTCCTCCTCCTCCTCCTCCGTCACCTCCTCCCACCCTCCTCCTCCTCCTCCTCCTCCACCTCCTCCTCCTCTCCTCCTCCTCCTCCTCCTCCTCCTCCTCCTCCTCCTCATCATCATCATCATCATCATCATCATCATCCATCATCTCATCATCACCGGTCCTCTCTTTCTCTTCCTCCTCCCCGACCCTCCACCTCCTCCTCCTTCTCCTCCTCTTCCTCCAACGTTTCCTCCTTCTCCTCCTTCTCCCTCCTCCTCGACCATCCTCCTCCCTCCCTCTCCTCCTCCTCCTCCTCCTCCTCCTCCTCCTCCTCCTCCTCATCATCATCATCATCATCATCATCAGCATCATCATCGCCTCATCGGCCCTCATTCCCCGCCCGTGCTCAATTTGACCCAAATATGCAATATGCCGCAACCGACAGTGAAGGAGCGTGGCTTCAACACTGCGCACCAGGAAGAGAGCTAAAGACCCACGCCAGTTCAAACATGACACGGAACCGACCTCGAGCGAGTCTGAAGTTCAGCCTCCTTGCTGCGCTGCTGCGCTGGCACGGTGGCGAGGTTGGCCACGGGCAGCTGGATGCTGTGCCAGCACACATACAGCAACGCAACATCGAGGTTTGAGCGCACCATCAGGCAGAATAGACGACGAAGTGAATGGGTGGCACTCCTTTTCGTGCTGACCCACGCCAAAGGCTGCCCCACGTCTTGCTTCTACGGCAACAGGAGGTCCTGTCCTAGCGAGGAGGGGCGGACGGAAAGAGAGCGAGGAGGAGGGTGAGATCGGCGGACGGCAACTATACACCACGCCGGCCCTGGCCCCTGGCCAGGCCAATCCTGGGCCCAGCATCGCCGTGCGCTCCCTCCCGCCGTGGCCAGCAAGGCACGCGCGGCGGCCCTCGGCGCAGCATGGACCTGGCCTCAGGCCGGGCATGTCCTCTTACAGGGGGACTTGGGCAGAGCAGTACAGACTGTGCAATCAAAAATCAAAGTGCACGAAGAAGCGTCCCCTGCCTATCCCTTGACTGTGTTTTGAACATCCCTCCTGTAGAGGGACATGCCCGACTTAGCGTGCGCTCCTTCCCTGAGGACGCCCGCAATGGGTACGGAAAAGTGGGCACAGTGCCCAACAACAAATGCTGCCCCGAACCAGCAGCGGCCGCTGTTGGGCAGACGGCCGTCTGTCTCAACCAGACACGGGCCGCGGCGGCGCGGAGGGTCCTGCTCAAGAGGAACAGGAACTGCGGTCGGGCATTGTGCTCCTTTCTTTCGCGCCCACTTCGTTCGTGCCGACTCCCGCCGTGGCAAGCAGGGCACGCGCGGCGGCCCTCGGCGCAGCCTGGGCCTGGCCAGCACCGGCGTGGGTGCACCGCCAGCGTTGAAGGGGCCCCAGGACACACAAATAAATACACACAAATAAAAGAATCCCCCATATGTTCTCATATTTTCTGGGTCTTTGTCTTCCCCCCCACTTCCCATATTTTCCCATATTTTCTGGGGATCGCCGATTCATTGTGTCTGTGTGTTTTTTCCCCTCCTGAAGCGTCCCCCGAGCGGAGGGAGGAGGGCTCGCGGCGGCGCGCGGCTGCACAGCTCGCGGGGACGCGGCGCCGGAGCCGGGGAGGGGCCGGGCCACGATGGGCCGATCTTCCACCACCACCACCACCACAGGTCGGAGAGGGAGGAGGAGGAGGAGGAGGAGGAGGAGGAGGACGAGGAGGAGGAGGAGGAGGGGGAATCAGAACGCCACAATCGTAGTATACAGGTTCGGTCAATGAATAAAGAAGAAGAGGAGGAGGAGGAGGAGGAGGACGAGGAGGGGGAATCAGAACGCCACAATCGTAGGATACAGGTTCGGTCAAGGAAAAAAGAGGAGAAAAGAAGAGGAGGAGGAGGAGGAGGAGGAGGAGGAGGAGGAGGAGGAGGAGGACCTCCCTCGGCCGGCCCATGGTGGCGGTAGTGAACAGTCGGCCCATCAGAGCAGGGCGCGCCGCGCCGCGCCGCACGACGCCAGGCCTCATAACGCGAGGGCAGGGCTCTGTCCCCTCATAGAGCCCGTGCCCCCGGCCAGCGCGCCACGGGGCCACGGGCGCGCGAAAAAGAGGCCGCGCCTGCTCGCCCGGGTGGGGCGGCCCCACGGGGGGAGGGCCCATGGAAGAAGAAGAAGAAGAAGAAGAAGAAGAAGGAGAAGAAGAAGAAGCAGAAGCAGAAGAAGAAACGGCACAAACACAAACTTCTGGCGCTCCGCGCGGATCTCTTGGATCTGCGCTGGGCCCCCCGCCCTGGCGCGCGGAGCACGCCAGGGGCGGCGCCGGAGGCGCCGCGTGAGGGGGCCCCGCGCGGATCCAAGAAATCCGCGCGGAGCGCCAACAAAGTGCGCTTGTGCCCATTGTTTCCTCTTCTGTGGGCGGGCCCTCCCCCCGTGGGGCCGCTCCAGGAGGAGGAGGAGGAGGAGGAGGAGGAGGACGAGGAGGAGGAGGAGCAGGAGGAGGAGGAGGAGGAGGATCAGGAGGAGGAGGACCAGGAGGAGGAGGGAGGAGGAGGAGGAGAACCAGGAGGAGGAGGAGGAGGAGGAGGAGGAGGCGGGAGCAGGTGCGGCTCCCTTGTGTGCGCCCAGGCAGCGGCGCCGCCGCGCCGCGCTGCGGCCCCCCACCCCCCCCCGCGGGGGAGGGGGGGGGGCTCCGGAGCGCCCGACGGGGGCTCGCGGCGCGAGGGCTCAGCAGGCGGCGTGCGCCCTCGCGCCCCCGGCGGGGGGCCGCAGAGGGGGGGGCCCTGCGGGGCGCACGCGGGAGGGAGCGGCCGCACGGGGCCCGCGCAGGGCGGGGGCACCCATTGATGGGCAAGTGTTCCACCACCGCGACGATATGTGGGACGGGGAAGAAAGGAGGATCAGGAGGTCCTCCTCCTCCTCCTCCTCCTCCTCCTTTTCCTCCTCTTCCTTCTCCTCCTCCCTCTCCAACCTATGGTATTGGTGGTGGAAAATGGGCCCATCCATCCATCCATCCCTCGAGGCAGGGGTCGACCTCAAGAGTTAGGTCGGGCATGTCCCCCTACAGGCGGATCTTGGGCGAACAGTTATTGATAGTCAACACATGCTCAAAAATAGCAACAAAAAACGAATGATCGTCCCCAGACTGTTTTAACTATTCTGAATATTCCTCCTGCAGAGGGACGTGCCCAACTTCATCTCAAGAGCGGTCTGCAATCGATTTCGTTGTGCTTTCGTTATGTTATCGTGTTCCTTATTGCTTTCGTCCTCATGTTGCCTTCGTCGTCGCTTGCTTCCGTTGTTTTTCGTGTTGTTTCCGTTTTTCCGAGGGCCAGGAGACCTCAAGAGGGCGCTGGTGCCTAGATGCCCGGGAGGGCATCACCGAGGGCTCCCTGGGAGAGCAACCGAATCCAGCCGGGCGAAGAACCCCCTCCCGCTCTGCGCGGGTGCGAGCGTGGCCACGCCCCCCTGCAGTCAAGAGTCAAGTTTCCCACAGGGATCGACCTGAAGTGTTTTTCGTGCTGGCTTTTCGTTCGCTCGTGAGCGTTTTTCATTTCGGCGTTTCGATCTTGGGCGGAAAGGGGGGGAGGGGGGGCGGGGGTCTGGCTCCAGACCTCTGCTCAGTGCGACTCTCTTTGCAGGAGTACTGCCTCTGGGGGAGGCTCCACCCGCTCGAAAAAGGCGCCGACAAAACAGCCAAGAGCCACTCCACGGGGGGGGGGAGGGAAAGGGGGCTTGGGGGCCCGCGCCGATCGGCAGAACAATACAGTCGGGGCGTCGACCTAAGGAACCCTAAATAAGGAACGAGGCCCCTCGCTTCCATGAGTCAAACTTCGGCTCCCCATCGAAAACAGAAGGAAGACCTGAGGCAAGCTGTGAAACACACTTGAGGAACGCGGAGCCCCTCCCCATCCCAAAAGGGTTCCTTCTTCAAGGCCCCGACGGTACACATTGAAAAAACGAGAACACTCCTCTTTGTCTTCGCTCCGCCCCTGCCGCAAGGCGGCGCCGGCACGGCAGCGACCCACGGAGTCGCCACAGCTCCGTGCAGGACGACCCCCATCCAAAAGGGGTCCTTTTTCAAGGCCCCGACTGTATACATTAAAAAACGATCGCTCTTCTCGTCGTCGATCCGCCTCTGCCGCAAGACGGCGCCGGCACGGAAGCGACCCACGGAGCCGCCACAGCTCCGTGCAGGACGGACGACCCCTGCCCCCGGGGAGGCGCCCGCTCCGCCCCTCCCGTGGGCGAGGAGATCCGGCCCTCTGCGAGACCACCCTCGGCGGCCAGCGAGGGGGGGGGAGGAGGAGGAGGAGGAGGAGGAGGAGGAGGAGGAGGAGGAGGAGGAGGAGGAGGAGGACAGCGTACAGGGGAGGTCAGCTCCACTCTAGGAGGAGGGCTCGGCGGCACCAGACGCCGCAGCCGCCCGATTCGCAATCGGAAGCGACGAGGAGGAAGAAGCGGGGAAGGAGCACGCAGCAGCAGGAGCAGAGCTCATCGGAGCGACGGACAGAGAAGGGGTCGGGGAAAACGACAGCGGCAGATCGAACGTCAAGGGAGAGGAGCGAGGGTAGACGGCAGAGGGCAGCAGCAGGGGGGTCACAAGGGACGAGGAAGGAAGAACGGACAGGATGGCAGGCGTGGCATCAGGCGCGGGGGGGCAGGGCGGGGCGCGTGGGGCAAAAGAGGGCGCAGGGACAGTCGAGAAGACGCAGCGACGGGAGGGCCTTGGAGGAGAGCGCTCAGGGCAAGGTGGGATCCACGGCGCGGACCACAGGGAGTGAGGAGATAGACTCTGGGTCGACGGGCAGGCCACCAGGGTCCCAGAGGATCGCGAAGCGGGTCCTGGGGAAGTCATCGAAGAGCAGGAAGCACTTGGAGTCCAGGGCGCCATGGGAGCGGTTGCGGGCCCAGGAGAGGTAGCTAGGACATGCCCTTGTCGAGAGCGCCGCACGATCATGGAGGAGACAGAGTCATGCCCAGCAGCCTGCGGTCGAGGGAGTAATGGGCACCCCTGCCTATGGCTAAGCGTTCTGTGAGCTGCCGACCAGCGAGACCACCCCTCGCAATTCACTCCAGAGGCCTGGCACGACGGGCTCGAGGAGCACCCGCCGCCAGGACTTTGCGTTCTGACTTCCCCAGTCGCAGCTCCAGTACCCAGCTTCTCCAACTCTACACAATTTACTCTATGAGCCTGGACACCTGGGCTCGCGGAGCACCCAGTGCCAGGACTTGGCGTTCTGACGAGGTCGGTACCCAACCTCCTTCGCGATGAGAGCTCGATGTAGTCGTGGTTATCGCTGTGCTCGGCTCTGGGAGGCGTCGCAATGAGGGTCGCTGGTGTACCAGGTGTGGAGGGAGAAGAGAAGTTGCAGTCGTCGGTGTAGGCCGTGGGGACAAGCCGCGGTGTGAGGCATGGTGATAGATTATCATTCCAGTCCACGCCAGAGCCAGGGCAGCGAACTCCATCAGTGTCGGCGCAGGGCTTGTTGTCCGAGTCCAGGTACGTCGAGGTGTGCCCATGACTGCCAGCGTCCATTCCATCATCATCATATGGATCTTCATGTTGATCAGAATGCGAGTCGTCGTCCTCGTCGGTGCTGGAAGAGGTCGAGGAAGTCGACGACTGTGTTGGTAGGCGGTGGAGAGTCAATGCCTCAGGGGGCTGTCATTTCTTATGAAGTTGAGCGTCAGGCTTGGCCAACCTTAGGTTTCTGACAGCAGCTCTCGCACTGGAACTTAGATCGTTAGAAGTGACATAAAGACGGAAGCGCATATTGTGGTAGATGTTGAAGGCCACTGCCAAGGTTTCAATGTGTTTGAGGTCGGGGAGCCGAAGCCCCAGGCGGTCAGGGAGGAGTGGCTGCATCTCATATCCCAATGCTTGGTACACCGCAGTCCAAAGCGGACGGCATCGCATGTAGTGGTATTGTCGATCTGCATGTCCTCGACACCCGAAGATACATGGTCGAGAGCCTCCAGCATACTTAATACGCGTAGCGGTGAGCCATCCAGAGCAATAAGTTTTGATAACCGGCATGGCCCAGCTCATAGGCACCAGTGAGAGAAGATCACCAATCTTTGTCCAGGCCACTCGATCCAGAAACGGCTCTCATTCATGTACATATTTCAATAGCCGTCGCTGCACCAGCAAAGCAAGAGGGACAGGCGTGGTTAGCATCTCCCGAAGTGCTCGTGTGGCAGCACGTTGCGGCTTGGGCTTCCTGTCGTTAACTTGGAGCTCCTGGGCGATGGCCTGCGCGCACGTGTCATTGATCTCGGGCGGATAAGCCGCCTCTCTGCCAGATTGCAGAACCGATGCATAACCCAGCAGGAGCGACGGGGATTGCCAGTGCGTGCCCGTATGGTCAAGCGCATCTCCTCGCGCCCGTGTCGCCGCCAGTGGCGCATCATCAAACTGGCCTTCCATGAGGGAGTGTCTCCATTCGGACTCCAGCCGTCGGAAGCGCTCAAGAATGGTAGTGCGATTAGAGAACGTGACTAGCGCGGCTCGAGCATAGGCAGCAGCGCACGAATGGAGCAACAGTGGGATATGAGGGCCTCCCCATTCGCCGATCTGGGCCCAACCTGCCGAGGTGAGCATGCCAAGAGGGGCTCTGAAGACCTGCGCCAGAATCCCCAGTTCCAGAGCAGCGTGCCGTTGAGGGAGCGGAACAAATTGGGCCACGTAGGAGACCACAGAGAACACCCTGGAGGAGTACAGTACACCATTAATACTAGCCGGGGCAGCCTCAGACCCAAGTAAGCGAGCCCGCAATTTGAGCTTCTGCAGCGGGGCGAGCCACTGCATGTCAATCGTGACGGCGGGGCCCAGCAGGAGGCCCAGGTAGAGGATCTGAGAGGTCGCTTCGAAGGCGCTCCAGGCAGGGACGAGGCGTTCCACAAGAGACATAGTGTGGAGCTGGAGGGGCTCGGAGAACTCCGCCTTGAGCGGGACGATTTTGCACTTAATGTGTTTAAGCTTCAGCCCTGTGAGACACTCAGTGACCGCCATCACATCATACAGAACTTGTAGGTGCTTTGCTTCATACACAACCGCCCCAATATCATCAGCACGCGCCCGAGCGATACCATATCCAGGAGTCTCCAGAGTATCTTCCAGCGCACAGAGAAAGGGGGCTGTGCCGAGGGCGTATAGGCTCCCTGAGAGCCCACATCCTTGGATAATCCCAGATCTCAGCCAGTATATAGGGATGATCTGGCCAGCGTGGGCCACGACTCCTTGAATAGCGAGGTACAGCCACGAGAGGAACCACATGAGAGGCCCAGGGAGCCCAAGCTTATTCATCAGCATCAGCAGGTATTCTTGGGAGAGACTGGGGAACGCCTGGCCATAATCAAACGAGATCAAGAGGGGGTCGCACAGGTCAGAACGAGGGTGAGCCGCGGCTAGCCTTCCAATGCCGTCAAGTTCGATCACATTGTAACCGAAGTTACGGCCGACTACAAACCCTCTTTGCGAGCGGGGGACCACCTCCTCCACCACTTTCCGAAGCGAGCGATTGACGACAGAACTCATGATTTTCAGGTCGGTGTTTCGGAGTCCCAGCACCCGAATTTTGTCAGCAGACCGCGTACAGCCTCCAGAGGCTTCGTCTTCTTCCTCCGAACCTTTGGGCAAGAAGGCCTGCAGCGCGACACTCGCGGCATCGAAGAGAGTCCCACCACTGAGCACCCAGTCGGGAGAGTTGCACAGCACGTCGACGCAGCACTCAGAGGCATTCCAAGCTGCATATGGGATGCCGTCCACCCCAGGTGCGGAGTGCCGTGCACCTCGCACAGCACGACGTATAGCAGCTTTGGTAGGAGGTGGGACTTCGCAATGGATGGGGACATTCAGGCGATCCTGGAGGTAGGCCTCTATGCGGGGGGCTGGGACAGAGCCTCGGGAGAAGACGGGGCGCCAGTAAGTACTCAAAGCTTGGAAACGATCTTCAGGGGAGTGGGATAAGACAGGTCCTGTCCGCACCTTCTGCAAGATGAGACGGCGAGAGAAGGGGGCCCAGATGGCCGCCTTCCGTTCCAGAAGCTGCTGGCGACGGCGGGTGGAAAGAGGGCGATGAGAGGCAGAGAGACCTGCGACATGATCAGCATTGGCTTGCAGTTCTTTTTCCAGAAGCCGCATGTGGACTCCGTCTGACCACAGATGAAATGATTCAGGGTGTCGAAGGCGAACTTGTGAGCCTTCAATGTGCAGTGCGTCTGACGCCCACTGCGATGTCGAAATAAGTCGCCGAGCCAGCGGAGCATCTTGCCTCCATACGGCACGAGCGCAGCTGCGGGCCACGATGATCGCCGTCTCATCACTCTCCGCCTTCAGCGTGAAGAGCACGTCACGCACCTCCCGCGCAGCTTCTTTGAGCATCTCTTTGAAATGCTCCTGATAAATAGAGCCAGCATGCGCATCAATAGCGTTCTGGCCATCAGCAACCATCCCCTCGATACGCTTCTTGAAGAGCGGGTCCAGGAAGATGTGCCGCGGGATAGCCTGTTCACCCCGAGGCCTGTGATGTCGCTGGCGCAACGTTGTCACCAGCGCAGCATGATCAGATATTTGAGCACGAGACAAAGCCTCTGGCTCCCCAACTGTGGTGGATTCAGCATGGACTTGACACGTCATCCACCCAGGAAGTGAGCAAAAGAACCTGTCGATGCAACTCACCGAGTTGGTGTGCTTCGTATAATGTGTAGCCGCCGACGAAGAAACCTCAAGTAGAGCCCCCAGAGAGCGTAGCCAACGGGCAGCTTGGGCACGATGATTCCGAGGATCTGATGCACGCGCAGGAAGTGGGCGATGAAGCACAAGGGCTTCGTCGGGGCCGAAATTCAGGTCGCCCTGCACAATAACCAGGTGGTGAGTGGGGTCAGACGCCGCCGCGACCCGATACTTGTCAATCTGCTCACAGACCCTGTCCACCTGGGTGCTCGTGAGGCCGTGGTTGTGAATATTAAAATGCGTCAGCTGAAGGCCACGTCTATGCACATCAACTTGTAGGACCCTTCCTGGGATGAGCGGCGTGGCACAGCTGGACGTAGCTCCGTCAAGAGCAAGTCGAGGAAGAATGGTAGCGACACCTCCAGCACCCGATCCCCCTTGATCAGCTGCACAAAACGAGGCGTGGACTACGGCATGGGAATGGGCCTGAAGCACGAATTGCTCCAGTTGGACACGATCGGCATGAACTTCTTGCATCGCCAGCACTGTGGACTGCAAGTGAATCTGCTGTAGATATCGTAACTTGGGAATGGCCTTCGCGCCTTGGTACTGCAGGAGCGCACGCGCGTTCCAGGTAGCGCATCTCAGAGCAGAGCCCCCATCTCTAGCTTGAGGAAGGTTGAACATCTGTAGCATCTCGTCAAAGGCACCACTGCGGAGGTGGCGGTGGTGCAATGGTGGATTGGACCAGCTCACGGATCTCGTGCTTGGCGATGCCGATTTCATTGAGGCCCTCGTCGTTGTAGCGGATGTCAAAGGGCTGGTCGTCAGGTTGGGCGGCGAGCTTGAGGATGTGCGTCCACCCGCATCGTAGGACACCACGCTCCCTGTCCACAACCCAGCGTCCGTCGTATTTGCCAGCCATGGCTGTGCGTAGCTTCCTGAGCGCCATTTCTGTTTTGATCTGCTTTGGGTTTTTGTCTGGTCCGAGATGGAGCCGAGCAGGAGCGGATCCTGAGACCTCAGCTTCGAAGATACGCCATTCATCATTCTGCCTGAGATTGGATAAGACTTTGTTGACATATTTGGAAGCCAGCCCCACACTGCCGTTGAAAGAGACCAGGTACCTTCTACTTGGCATCGGTCCAGTGGACTTGATAGAGTATGATGAGGCGTCCAGGCCCAGTTCCGACAAGAAAGGGGTAAGTGATGCCCGCACAGAGTCGATCCCGACCATCTTCGTAGCCATTGCGACGACAATCGAGGGGTCTTCAGCGCGATCGAAGGAGGGCGGAACTGTAGGAGCCTTCTCGGAGCGTTTGGCGACCATGAGTTCGCTGCGGAGCTGCTCCATCTGCTGGCGCAGGTTGGCGAGGTCCGCAGTGTGCTTCTCCACATCAATAGAGAGCGTGTTGACATGTGAGCCGAGCGCGTCGATCTTAGACTGTAGGCCGCGGTGAATGGAGTCAATATGCGGGCGGACTGTGGCCATAATCTGCTGGTCGATTTCTTTCGGCTGGGCGGTGATCTGCACTCGCAGCGATTCCAGTGTGTCAAGAATAGATTTGTTTGAAGATTGCACCGTTGCTCCGACGGTAGATCCCACAAGAGATTCCAGTTCGGATCGTAGTTCTCCGAATTGTTCAGCGACTGCGTTAGCTGCAACGTGTCTGATATAGTCATCATCATATTGGGGCTGCTGCGGCGGATGTAGGGCGGGGTCACGATGGGCACCAGCAGGAGAAGAACCAGGAGTACACTGAGAATCACCACGACCACCGAACAGAGCGGAGCCAACAGCCCCTGCTGCGCGGGCGGCCATGCCAGCAACACCCTTGCCACCGGAGTTGCCACCCTTGCCGTCCTCAGTGCGCAGGTATTTGTGCTCGGGCGAGCCACGGTCTTGACGGTCAACCGCCTGGTCATCTTCAGGAAAGGTGGGCATGTCGTCGAGCTCCTTGGCCACCATGGCGAGCGAAGCAGCGTCTGGGAGTCCCATGGCGCCAGCACCGCTCGACAGCACAGGAACGGGAAATGCCTCCGTTTACCCGTGGAGGCGAGCGACAGGATGAGGAAGAGATTCTGCCAGACCGCAAAGGGTCTTGCCAGCCGCGGACTAGCGGTATCCACTTGTTCCCCTGTGGAACCTGGCATCTTGAGCCAAAATGGCTACGGTGGGAGGAGGAGGAGGAGGAGGAGGAGGAGGAGGAGGAGGAGGAGGAGGAGGAGGAGGAGGAGGAGGAGGAGGAGGAGGAGGAGGAGGAGGAGGGGGGGGCGAGCGAGAACGCGAAGGCCTCCCCCGGAAGGCCGCGGGATTCCTCTCGGCAGCCCTCGCGCCTCCCGAGAGGTGAGCCTCGCGCCTGCGGGGAGGGCGCAAGACGCTCAGACACCTCTCGGAAGGCCGGGGGGGCTCCCGAGCCCTCCGAGGGGGCCTTTTTCTCCTTCTCGCACCCACCCCCTCGCTCGCCGCCGACACCTGGGTCATGCCGAGTGGCCCCTGGCCTGCGGTTCCAGGCGCCGGGGCCAAGCCCGCACGGGCTCTCGCTCGGCTGCAGTGGCTTCTTGACGCCCGCCGTAGATTTCAGGAATCTGGCATGCAGCCTGCGGTTTCAATTGTGGCTGCCCATACCCTCGCCCCCTGCTCTGGCCCCACCCCCCACGAGAGAAGGGCAGGATCAGACATGTGGGTGGAAAGCGGGGGTCGCCGACCCTGACTCGAATCAGCTACTGGCAAGGCCCCTAGCAGCGAAAACTTCAGGTGAGTCCTTTCATTTCCTTGTAGTACCTCGGGCTGGTGAAGGGCGCAGCGTTAGGGAAAAACATACAAATCATTCGCGCTCACGGGACACCGCTGACTCTAGATGAGGTTCACGGGCGTATCCCGCAGTTGGAATGCGCAATAAATGCACGCATGCATGCATAAACGAGAAAGGTGGACTGCGATCCAACGCTTACCCGGCACCATGACGACAGAAGTGGCATACTACGTTTTCGAATAGATGCAACAAACACTAGTGGAGCTGCCGCCACACACTGGTTGTTATCATCTGCACATGCCCGCGCTTCCACATTGCACGACCACGCAAACAATGTACCAAACGATGGACCCAGCTGCCAGAGCTTGCTCGCACGAAACGATCCATCGCCTGCTCCATAAGCTGACCTGCCCCCGACGCAGATTGCAACACAATGCTTCAGCTACATGCTATTGATCTGCAAGTGTCAGCCTCCGTCGAGCCACCTCTCCTTCAACGCCCAGATGTACTGCACCCGCCATCTGTCTGCCTCCTGCCCTTCCTCTTGACTGTTTTGCCGACCTCGCTGGCCTTGGGTCAAGAAGACACTGCGAGGGAATCCACAGAAGGGTGCGCCCGAGAGAGGAAGGTACTCGACGAAGTCGTCGATTACCGAGTGCCAGGCCTGGCTCTCGTCGTACGTCGAAAGGTCGGGGGGCACCTCGCCCATCTCCTCTCCCAGCCCCGCTCGCACTCCTCCTCCTCAGGGGCCGCCCGCCCCAGTCCCCCGCCCGAAGACGTTACCCTTCAGTCAAAGATGGCTTCAAGAGGGCAGAGGAGACGCCGATGAGCGGAGACAGATCGGAGGCCTGGAAATTGGCACCAACACCAAGACAGAGGGTTGCCTCCACAGGGGGAATATGATCCTAGATTTTCGGTGTTGGTGGTATTAGTTCGGCCACCTTGGAAGCCATAATATTACCACCATCACCGAGATCGGGATCATTTTCCCTCGGTGGAGGCACACCGCCGATATTGGTGTTGGTGTCAACCTCTAGGCCAGCGATCCTGGAAGGGGCCGCTTGCAGGGCTACGCCTGGAGGATCCCTAGGCTCTGTGACGGGCTCGAAGCCGTCCGAACGGGCCATGGGACGCGTCAAAGGGCTCTAAGACTAGGTCGGGCACGTCCCCCTACAAGCGGATTTGGACGGACAAATTCAAATACGCTAAAGATTCTCACAAACATAGTCAAACATAATTAAAAAACATCGTCCCCATACAATGGTTTGCCTATGTTGGATATTCCTCCTGTAGAGGGACAGGCCCGACTTAGCTCTAAGACCATCGCGGAAGCTGTTCGACGCATGTTGGCAGGTCCGTCTCTGAGGTCTCGCGAGGCCGTTGTGGAACTGCCTTCGGCAACCCTTGGAAGCTCTTGGACGCATGTCGGCGGAAGCTCTTGAACGCATGTTGGCAGGTCCGTCTCTGAGGTCTCGCGAGGCCGTTGTGGAACTGCCTTCGGCAACCCTTGGAAGCTCTTGGACGCATGTCGGCGGAAGCTCTTGAACGCATGTTGGCGGGTCCGTATTTGAGGTCTCGTGAGGTCGTTGTGGAACTGCCTTCGGCAGGCCTTTGGGAAGCGGCCAAGAGGGGGGTGTTTTTCTGAAGGGGGGGTGCAAATCATGACCGGCGGCACGTGCGCGGCCCAGCGGGGGGGGCCAGGGACGTTATACGAGACAAGACGAGGCGCCACGACACCTGGGGAATACTGTCATGACCCCCGCCACGAGATCCACCCCCCCCTAGTCATCACCCCCCTCTTCTCCGCCCCCGAGGACAGCCGCTCGGACTCGGCGGGGGGCCCTCGGCCGGGAGGGCCCTGAGGGCCCGCCCCGCCCGCGGGGTGCCTACCGGCCCCGCCCGGCGCACCCGGGGCGCCCCGGGGGCGCCCCGGGGCGCCCCGGGCGGGGCCACAGCCCCCCAGGGGCCACGAGAGCCTGCTCCCCCCCCCAGGGAGCGGAGGTGGCAGGAGGAGAGGGGGGGGGGAGGGGAGGGGGGGAGGGGGAGGATAGGATAGGACCGATCGCGAAGCGACGTAACATGACCCAACCACCACCCAAGCCATCTGCTCGGGTTGAATTAGGCTGAGGATCCTCCCCGAACATTGCAAGGGACGGACCAGGACGCAGAGGGGAGGGGACGAAGGGGAGGGGGGAGCTAGGGGAGTAGGGGGGAGGGGGAGGAGGAGGTGGGCGGGCCCGTCTCTCGGGCCTCGGGAGGCCGCTGCGGACCTGCCGACTCGGCCCGCCTCGGGGGCCGCCTCGGCGCTCTCCCGGTCGGGGACGGGGGCCCTCGCCGGACCCCTCCTCTCGGGCTCCAGGGCCAGGCCGGGCGTGTCCTCCTGCGGGCGGACGTCGGACGACAAAGGAAGCACAACAGATGCTCAAACATACACCCTGCGAAATGCTTAAGAAATCATGGGGTAAGAAATTCATAGTCTCAGAAATTGAATAAAACCCAGAACTTCTATCAAAATCTTGGGATTTACATTGAAACGGTAAGAATAATCGAGACTCTGGCCGAAAACTTCGGTTTTCTTAAGCATCGCATGAGGTGTACTCAAGACTGGTCGAAAAATCGTCCCCTGGGCATGTTTTGTATGTTACTCCTGCAGAGGGACAGGCCCGACTTGATTCTATGACCGGGGCCTTAAAAACGTGCAGGGGCCGAAAATAAGCGGAGGAGCGCTGCCCTGCGCAACAAATCAGTTCGGATTTCGTTCTTCTGAACTCTCTGGCCAAATCTGCGGCTTCCGCTCAAGGTGAGCTTCTTCCTTCTCTCCACGCCGCTAGCCTGGGACTCCTTCCTTCCCCCGCGTCGCGATGCGTCGCTTCCGTCCTGTCTTCTCTTTCTCCTCGGCATCGCCTGCACACACAAATGGGTCGACGCCCCAGAAGTGACCGCTCCCGCGGGAGGCGCGTGGTTGAGAGGCGACCAAGGCTGCGGAACCGCGGCGAAGGGCTCCAGGCTCCACCGCGTCGGCACTTGCACGCCCACGCCCGCGGAGAACAAACGGCCGACGATCCTCACCTCGCCATCGCTCGGACGTCCATTCCCTGTTTATTTTTTTGTTCCGTGCGTGGCTTTTTCGCCAAATGATCAAGGATGCTCCTCGATGGTCCTCGCCGACAAAAAAAACGCACAAGTCCGAGCGATGCCGAGACCGAGGCTGCGGAACCGCGGCGAAGGGCTCCAGGCCCCACCGCGCCGGCACTTCCACGCCCACGCCCGTGGAGAAAAAAACGGCCGACGATCCTCACCGTGAGGCCGTCTCTGGCGATCTGCCAGCCGCGTGGAACGATAACGGAAGGGGAACTGGGGCACACAAGTAAATACACACACACATAACAAGATTCCCCCTCTTGTCCCACATTTTCTCTGGGCTCCTGTCTTCCCCCCCCCCCCACTTCCCATGCTTCCCCAGATTTTCTGGGGAGTCGACGATTCATTGTGTCTGTGCGTTTCCTTCCCCTCCCGATCAGCGCGCGGCGCGCCCCCGACAGCAGGCAGATCCACGCGCGTCGGAGGGCGGGGGCGCCGGGCGGGGCCGCCGGGGCGGCGCGGCAGCCGAGACCAGCGAGGGCCCTCGGAGCAGCTCCGGCGAGGCGGGGCCTGCGAGGGCAGCCCGGAGCCCGAAATCGAGGGCACCATCCAGAACTCATTACTCCAGATTTCGTAATGGAAGGGAGGGGGTCTCATTTCGGGGGGGTCTCTTCCAGGCTGTCTTGGAGGGCCTGGGGGTCTGGGGACGAAGTTTTGGAGGGTTCTCCCACGGGGGGGGGTCTGGAATGGCTTGTCTTGGAGGGTCCAGACCCCCTCCCCTTTCTTACGAAATCTGGAGGACACGAGAAGGTCGAGTGGACTGGAGCTTCGTGGGCCCCGGAAACGGCGGGGCCGTTTTTTTTACCGTTTCCAAAAAAAAATGTCCCTCGGAAATGGAAGCGGCAGAAAAGCGGCGACCGGAAACGGCAAAAAACGGCTCCAGGATTGGAGCCGGAGCCGGAACCGGCCAAGAAACGGCGACGGAACCGGTAAAAAAACGGCGTCGGAACCGATAAAGAAAACGGCAAAACGGAACCGGTAAGAGAACTGCCCTGTCGTTTCCAGGGCCCACTAAGCCCTGGAGCCCGAAATCGAGGAGACCATCCAGAACTTGTTACACGAGAAGGTCGAGTGGACTGGAGCTGGTTTCCTCCGGCGACCCCGGGGTGTCTTCGCAAATCTAGGGGCGCGGTTCGGGTCTACTGGGGCCACACTTCAGAAATGCTCGCTTGCAGGACTCCTTAGGTGTTTGCGGTCTCTCGGAATCTCTTGTGTGGGTCATCAGTACGTCCTTGAGCTTTTCTTGGAGGGCTGCAGAGCGGCTCCTCAGCAAGCATGGAGGCCGCCCACGCCCACGCCGACGACCTGCAGACGTGAAGACTTGACGGCATGATTTTCGTGTCTTCATGTCTTCATGTCGCAAGGTCAACGACACAATCGTCACGTCTCCATGTTATCATATCGTCAGCCCGACGACCTGATTTTCACGTCCACTTGTCTTCATGCCGCCTGGCCGACGAACTGATCGTCATGTCGTCATGTCTTCAGGCCGTCGAGCCCCACCCCAGGCCGGGGTCCCCAAGACGAGACATGCAGGGCATCATGTCTTCATGTCGTCGGGCGAACGTCGCGGGAACCCACACCAGGCGCAATGAAATTGCATGTTAAACTTGTCCGTTCTTCGACCCACTGCCCTATCCCTCCTCCACGGGGTGTGGGGGGGGGGGGGCGATGCAAGAGTGCACGCTTGCATTGTTGATGCGTCTGCCTTCTCAACACCTGGCCCGTCTCACCTGGCAATCATGTAAACTTACGCTCGTGTGGTGGCCGAGCTGTGACCCGCTACCCTATCCTATCCCTATCCTGGCCTGGCCAGGGAGGCATGTACACAGCTCCTGGGCCCAGGATGGGCCTGGCCAGGAGCAGTGGATATGTATAGATCTCGTCGCCCTACAGGTCACGACGAAGGCGTGGCAGGGCCACAGAGAACCGACAGGCTCGGCCATCCCGGGCCATGCACGTGCGGCAGAGCACCGGGACTCTCACCACCTGAGCCTTCACAGGTGGAGCACGTCTAGTTGCTCCATGGGATGCTCACCATTTCTGAAGGGGCCCCAGGACACACACACACACAAATAAATACACACCAATAAAACGATTCCCTATATTTTCTTATATTTTCTGGGTTCCTGTCTTCCCCCCCCCACTTCCCATATTTTCCCATATGTTCTGGGGAATCGACGATAAATTGTGTCTGTGTGTTTCTTTCCCTCCTGAATTTGATCCTCGACAGTTCAGCCTAACCAGGTGGTCCTGAGGAGCCCAGGATACCTTTCAAGAACCCTGAGGGATCGGGGGCGCGCAAGCATGGATTAGCGATCCATGGACTTGGCGCGCGGTCGCCAAATCCATGGATCGGGGGAAAAGCCCTCTCAGAACACGGCCGGTGCCGCCTCGCTCGGCGGCGGAAATCCGCGATTTCCCATGGGAACGGGACCCGTCGCATATCCATGCCCCCTTGATTCATGTTTGCGATAGCCTGACCAGAGGCATCCTCGAGAGTCCTGCGTAATCCTGACAAATCCCGAGGGGTCATGACGAATGCCCTCCCAAGTGACGAACGTGTGGCAGGGACACCGGATTCTCACTGCGCGTGGCAGAGGCAAAGGGTGGGTTCTCACCATGTCAGCCTGCACAGGTCACGCATGTGGCAACGCCGCAAGATTCTCACCATTCCAATCTCTGCAGGTCGCGAACGCGCGGCAGGGCAATCGGATTCTCAACAAGTCGGCCCGCCTGGGGCACGAACCTGTGGCATGGCCATAGGAGTCTCACCAGGTCGACCTTCCCAGGTCGGCGTCAAGAATCCAACAAATTCCCCAAGAACATCAAGAACTTCCGTAGGATCAGAGCGAGTCTTGTGGAACCGTTAGAAACTTCAGGATTCCTAAGGAATTCTGGGAATGCCCTCGCGGGTGCCGAACGTGTGGCAGCACCAGAGGATTCTCACCACGCCTGCTTTCCCACGCCACGAATGTGTGGCCATGCCACTGGAGTCTCGCCATCCCGGCCCTCTCGGGTCCGCGAACGTCTGGCAGGGACGTAGGGCATGGACCATTTCAGCCTAACCAAGTCTTCCTGAAGAATCCAGCCAAACCACTAGGAACATCCCGTGTAAACGTAGGCTTCAAGCAATTGACCTATAATCGGATGTGCATCTCGATCTGGCAGTTCAGCTACTCAGAACAAGACAATTGTCCTCTCCCTCCTCATCTCATACGTGTAACTGAGATCCTCATGTCATCCTTCCTCCTCCTCCTCCTCCTCCTCCTCCTCCTCCTCCTCACACCTCCTCCCTCCTCCTCTGTTGTCCCTCTCCTCTATGTGTCCTGCCCCCAACTCCTACTCGCTTCGGCTGGTAAGGAAACCGCCTCACATTGAATGGGGGAGCGCGTGTTGCAAGGTGGCCGCTGAGGAGTGTACTTCCGTGGCAAGCTTCAGAACCATCATCCACAAGTCACGGCTGATGGACTTGCCCTTCATGTGGCTGAGCGACGCCCGCGCTTTTAGGTAGGATAATGAGGGAGGGACGAGCTTGAGCAGGAGGAGCAGCAAAAGCAGGAGGAGGCGGAAGTGGAGGCCACAGAATAGCAGTGGTGATAATACTACCAGCAGTAGCGGCAACACGATCAGTATCACTGGCAACACCAGCAGCAACAGCAGTGGCACTAATCACTACAGCAGATGTAGCAGCAGCAGGAGCGGCAGCACACCGAAGTAGTGGCGCTTGAGGTGTTCGGCTGTCCCCCTCCCCACTTCCCCAGCCCAAAGGTCCAACATCTGGTTAGAGAGCTTGTGGGGGGGTCCCCATGCGAGCTCGTCAAGGACCCCTTCTGGCCCACGGAGACTCCCGAAACCGCCGACCAGGACCACAGGAGCCTCCAAACTGGCCCAGACGGTCCAGGGGCCCGTCGTGAGGCTCTGCTGGGAGCACCTTGGAGCCTCTGGGAGGGCCCGGAGCCTGGCCCCTGAGAGGCCCACCTCGCTGACAAGCCACCGGTCGCCGCATGACTTCCGCGTGCTCGGCCCCTGGATATCTGAGAGCACACGAGGCGGCCCAGTTGCCCCCCAAACCCACGGACGATGACCCCCGAGGGCCACCCTGGGGAGGAGGTGGAGGGGGAGGGGGAGAGGGAGGGGGAGGCGGCGGCGGCGGCGGCGGCGGCGGCGGCGGCGGCGGCGGCGGCGGCGGCGGCGGCGGCGGAGGAGGAGGAGGAGGAGGAGGAGGGGAGGAGGAGGAGGAGGAGGAGGAGGAGGAGGAGGAGGAGGAGCGGGAGGAGGAGGAGGAGGAGGAGGAGGAGGAGGAGGAGGAGGAGGAGAAGGAGGAGAACCCAGGCTGCCCAAAGAGGGGCCCGAGATGGGCCGCGGGGGGCCCGGCAACCCTTCCTCCCGAGATGGCCCGCCGCCCCCAAAAGGGTGCCCCTGGAGGCTGCACGATGCTCGCAGAGGCACCCGGGGATCACCCTGAAGCCTCCAGGAGGCCCCGCGAGGAGGAGAAGGAGGAGGAGGAGGACGAAGATGGGGAGAAGGAGGAGGTAGAGAAGAGGAAGGAGGAGGAGGAGGAGGAGGAGGAGGAGGAGGAGGAGGAGGAGGAGGAGGAGGAGGAGGAGGAGGAGGAGGAGGAGGAGAGAAGGAGGAGGCAATAATTACTGCAAAGAGGCCCCCGATAGGCCCCCGAGCGGTTGTGGAACCTTGCCCACAAGCCGGGCGCCGTGGCGGGGCAGGCCGGAGGCCACTCTGACATTGCCTCGCCCAGCACCTCCCAGACGCCACCCTGCACGGAAGCGGCCACCCGGTCATACTTAACGGCCCACGGCCCTCGCGCGCCGAACGCAGCCACTCACTCCAATTCCTATCTGAACCTGGCGGCCGCTGTGGGTTTCCCTCGTTTTGCGGGGGGCTAGCGGAATGGCACAAGCCTCCTCAACAACGGCAGACACTGCTGCACGAACCCTTTCAACGACAGCACATATTGCTATGTGCTTGGGGAGCACGGGGACTACAGTGTGTGCAGCGAAGAGTTGGAGGATGGATGGCAGAGTATGAAGGAGGAAGGAGGGCAGAGGGAAGAGGATCGAGGCCTGAGGAGGAGGGGAGCGCACGTTTCCTGCAGATCTTCCCTGCTGCGGCCACCGCGGCGCACAGGGCGCGATTGGCCGTTGAGCCCAAGAGAGGCTCCCCGAAGGCGCAGAGAGGTGGTCAAAATCCGCAGGAATGCATCCCACCCCCCCGCGGCACGGAGGAGGCAGGGTGGAGGGAGAAGGGGGGGGGGGGGGGGAAAAAGCAGGGAGCAGGGGGCAAAGGGCAGGGAGGAGGAACCACAGGGGGACGGCAAACGCCTACGCACTTTTAAGCCGGCGGCGAAGAGGGTCCTCAAGCGCGGGCAGCAGATGGAAGTGCGAACTGCGAACGAGCATTGCCGAAGCCACAGCGTACGAGACGTCACACTGTAAAGTGCTAGCGATGGGTGGTATGCTGCGGTAGCCCCAAACGTAGCAACGCAGCGGCCGGAAAAGTGAGGACGAGACTCAACTCAAAGTGAACTGAAGCGCAAACAAACTGGTGCAAAATTGCGGCCACTGGATCACTGGTGGGGTAAATCGCCGAACCCAACACGCACACTTTTTGCGTCGGCGGCTGGGCAGAGGTTATTGCTCTGGCGATGGGGCATCAGCACGCACATACACACACACACACACACTTCTCCGACACTCGCGGTGGGGGCAGAGAAGACCCCCGCTAGAGAATCCAGCACGTCCGTCCCGAGTGACGCCAGGCCCACTGCGGCACCCGGGGACGCCCTGGGAGCCAGAGGGAGCACAGGGGGGAAAACGCCAGCCCCTCACGGGGCAGTGGCAGCGGAACGGCGGCCAACGGGCAGTGGCAGTGGGGCGGCGCGGAGCCAGGCCAGTCGGCCGCCGCCGCGGGTGCCGAGCCGCCGGAGCGCGAGCGGAGCCCTGCGGTGCAGAAGGCGGGCCGGGAGGAGGATGAGGGAGGAGGAGGGAGGAGGAGGAGGGGGAGGAGGAGGAGGAGGAGGAGGAGGAGGAGGAGGAGGGGGAGGAGGAGGAGGAGTGGGAGGGCCTCACGGAGCAGCCAGCAGCAACGCCACGACGGGCACCGGCGGCAGGGGCCCCGCGAAGGGCGGCGGGCGGCAGGCGACGGGCAGCGGCGGGGCAGAAGGCGGCGGCGCCAAACGGGCGCAGCCAGGGCGGAGGCAAACACTGAAGGGGCCCCAGGACACACAAATAAAAATATTCCCCATATTTTCCCATATTTTCTGGGCTTTAGTCTTCCAGCCCACTTCCCATATTTCCCCATATTTTCCTGGGAATCGACGATTAATTGTGTCTGTGTGTGTGTTTCCCCTCCTGAAGCACAGTGTTTTTCGTCGGCGGCGAGGTAGAGACGGTCCGCTCCAGCGGGCGGGTGATGCGGGGCGACCGACCGGCAAATCGGCCGGCACGCAACAGAGGGACAGGGAGACAGACGGGGCGGCCGCGGAGGAGGGGAGGCGGAGGGCACTCAGACGTGGAAGAGTTCGCAAACACAAACACACTTTTGTTTTGTCCGTCGGCGGCTGGGCAAGGGTTGCTGCTCCGGCGATCGGGCACAAGCGGGGCGCGCTGGATGCAAATTGGGCCGCAGTGCGCGGGCGGAGGGGAGGAGACCCCGGCGCAACGGGCAGAGAGGAAGCCGGGCCCGCCCCAGGCAAGCCCCAGCTGCGGCACCGCGCACAGAGGCACGCACAGCTGGTCGGCTTCGCGCGCGGAGCACGAGGAGGCCTCCCTCCCCTCGCCCCCTCGATCTCGATCTCGCCAGATCGGAGCTCGAGAAGAGTGAGGGGGGGAGCGGGGCCGGCCGTCCCCGAGGGGGGAGAGGAGCGAGGAGCGAGGAGCGAGGATCGAGGCAAGCGGGCGGGGAGGGGAGAGACCGGACGCTTCCGCTGCTCGGCCGACGCCGTCGCCACCAGGCGCGGCAATACTCCGCCGGGGGGGTCGTCCACACAACTCTTGCACGCGCTCGCACTGGACCGGACTGACTTGCCAGCGGCATCCTGGGCTGAGGGAGCAGGGAGGAGGGGAGGAGGGGAAGGGGTAAGGGGTAAATGAGAGGGGGAAGGGGAAGGTGGAAGAGGGGGGAGATGGCGAAGGCGAGGCGGGGGAGACGGGGCGGGGGCGCTCCCCGAGGAGGGGGATAAAGGCCTGCGGTGGTGATCGAGGAGGGAAGAGGAGGAAGGAAGGAGGGAGGGAGGGAGGAAAGAAGGAAGAGGAGGAAGGAAGAGGAGGAAGGAGCGAGAGAGGGAGGAGGAAGGAGGGAGGGAGGGAGGGAGGGAGGGAGGAGGGAGGAAGGAAGGAGGAAGGAGGGAGGGAAGGGAGGGGTGGAGGGGGGAAGCATGTCGAAGGCGAGGGTGCGGCCTGGCGGCCCACGTGCAGAACTCCTCCCGCAGCTGCCACTGGTGCAGCAGCAGGGCCCAGTACTGCGCGGCCTCGGCCGCGGCGGCCAGACCGCAGGGCCGCCCCCCGCCCTCCCCGGCCTTTGGGGGGGAAGAGATTGGAGGGGGACTGGCGCATGGAGGAGGAGGAGGAGGAGGAGGAGGAGGAGGAGGAGGAGGGAGGAGGAGGAGGAGGAGGAGGAGGAAGGAGGAGGAGGAGGAGGAGGAGGAGGAGGAGGAGGAGGAGGAGGAGGAGGGAGGAGGAGGAGGAGGAGGAGGAGGAGGAGGAGGAGGAGGAGGAGGAGGAGGGAGGAGGAGGAGGGAGGAGGAGGAGGGAGGAGGGAGGAGGAGGAGGGGGAGGGAGGAGGGAGGAGGAGGGGAGGAGGAGGAGGAGGAGGAGGCGGAGGAGAAGGAGGAGGAGGAGGAGGAGGAGGAGGAGGAGGGTGGGACATCGACCTGGAATGGGCGATGCATCGCCGATGCATTGGCGACAGGCCATGTCGATAGTGTGGCCGCACCTTCCCGGGCGGGATGGGCCGCCACATGCCCCTCTCGGCGATGCATGGGCGACTGCTGAGGGTCGATGCGCACCTCCCCCCTTTTCAACCTTGCCCCACTCCTTTGAGAAGGGCCCCCAGGACACGCAAAGAAGTACACACAAACAAAAGGAGTCCCCATATTTTCCAGTATTTTCTGGGCTTTTGTCTTCCCCCCCCAATCCCCATAGTTTCCTATATTTTCTCGGGAATCGGCGATGAATTGTGTCTGTGTGTCTCTTTCCCTCCCGATCCTTCCTCGCTCCCCTCGGTGTGCGCGAGGCAACGCGTGTGCCCACGTCGGCCTCTGCCTGGCCCGTGGCGCTGGGCGGCCCCCCCCCCGCCGCGCCGCCCTGTGCTGCGGGGCACGCGGCGGCCGAACCAGCGGCACGCGTGCCGTGGCCCCTGCGCAGACATGAAGGGGGAGGAGGAGGAGGAGGAGGAGGAGGAGGAGGAGGAGGAGGAGGAGGAGGAGGAGGAGGAGGAGGAGGAGGAGGAGGAGGAGGAGGAGGAGGAGGAGGGGAGGAGGAGGAGGAGGAGGAGGAGGAGGAGGAGGAGGAGGAGGAGGAGGAGGAGGAGGAGGGGGGAGGAGGAGGGAGAGGGGGGACGAGAGGAGGAGGGGGAGGAGGGGGGAGGAGGAGAGGAGGGGGGGGGGAGGAGGAGGAGGGGGGAGGAGGAGGAGGGGGAGGAGGAGGAGGAGGGGGGAGTGGGAGGCAGAGGGGGCGAGGAATGGGGGAATGGAGCAGGGACCGACCGTCCTGGCATTCCTACAGGCCCACCGCGACATTCTCTTAGAACCCAAGAATATTCCAAGAACAGAAGCCATGTTCTTAGAACATCAGCCCGACGCTTCAAAACAGGACGGCTCCAGCCAAACGTGTTCTAAGAACATGTCCTGCAGACCACGAAAGGTTCTCAGAGCATTCTTTGGTGGGCCTATAGGCGAGCCAGGACGCTTCGCCACTGCTTGAGAGAAGGAGGGCTTGGAGAGGCCGAATCAACAAGCGCATGTCCACGCCGGCTACGTTGCGCCACTGCGGAGCGCGGGGGACCCTCTCCGGAGCACCCAGAGCCGGCCGAGGTGGTCGGCGCGGCGAGGAGGAGGAGGAGGAGGAGGAGGAGGAGGAGGAGGAGGAGGAGGAATAGGAGGAGGAGGAGGAGGAGGAGGAGGAGGAGGAGGAACCCCGGCCGCCGCGGGGGCTCTCGGGCCCCCGTGGGGACCCCAGCCCTGGCCGAGATCGGCGCGGCCCTCACAGAAACGGCGATCGCAGCTGAGTGATGGCTTGGCAGGCGCTGAGGATCGACGCCGGCAGCGTGCAGTGCCACTGGACGCGTTTGTGCCGACGATCCTCACCTCGCCATCGCTCGGACGTCCCGTGCGTGGCTTTTTCGCCAGATGATCCAGGGTGCTCCTCGACGGCCCTCGCCGAGAAAAAAAAAAACGCACACGCCCGAGCGATGCCAAAGGTGTTGGGGCGGGCCTCGGAGGCCCGCAGGGGGGGTCTTGCGGGAGTCTCGGGGGCCCTCCGGGGAGAATGTTTTGGTACTATACCCTCTTAGGCTTCTCTTGGTGAGCGCATACTCCAGATTTCGTAATAAAGGGAGGGGGGTCTCATTTCGGGGGGGGTCTCTTCCAGGCTATCTTGGAGGGCCTGGGGGGGTCTGGGGACGATGTTTTGGAGGGTTCTCCCACAGGGGGAGGTCTGAAATGGCTTGTCTTGGAGGGTCCAGACCCCCTCCCTTTTATTACGAGATCTGGAGTACATTATGCTGTTCCCCAACCGCTGCTGTCTGAGGTTCGGGGCGCAGGTGCAGAGAAGTGCCCGGCAAGAGAGTGTATGCACAAGCGCGCTGCGTTCACCCGGGTGTCTTTTGTGCAATGTTCTTAGCCTTTCTGGGGCCACCGCAGGCCTCCTGAGGCCGCGGGAGGCCCTCCTCCCTCCCCACTCCCGCCCTACCTCCCCCTTGCTTTCTCCCCCCTGGCCCATGCCTCCCTCCTCGTCCCTCGTGTCTCCTCCAGCCACCGTCCTGGCTCGAGGGGTCCTGGGAGAAAGGTGCAAGGTAACTGCGCGCCCCTGCTCGAGACTGCTGCCACACGCGCGCATCCAGGCAGCGCAGCCGCCACCGTAATGTTGCGTCCTGGTCGCCGTGACCACGCGGGTCGAGAGCTGGCCTTGCACAGAGAAGCGAGAGCGAAACGTGGACGGGCCAGGGTGCTCGTTCGCACTGCCGCAGCCAAGCATCTACTTCGACGGCATCACAGCGCCATGCAGCCAGCGCCGCCCCCATGGTCGAGGAGTACAGCGGGTACCCCACCCAGTCAAGAGGCCTCGCAAGCTTCGGGCGGTAATCGCGCAGATGGTTCACGGTGTTGTCCAGCTTGCGATACCTACAACTGGGCAAATCGCAAGATGCATTCGTGGTGCTCCTCTCCTCGAAGTCAGCAGGAGCTGAACCCAAGAGGAGGGCCAGATCCAAATCAGCCGCCAGGTATCGGTCTCTCCGCCCAGACGGCATGGGAGCGGAGCAACACCCAGCAGCTACAGGGAATCCGCCGACTCCTTGGGGTCATCGGCGTGTGAAATGCTTCCCCCTCCCCAAACCCCTCCCCCCGGGCCCAGTCCAGTCGTTTTGGAGGAGCGGGGGGGGGTCTGGCCGGCCCGGGGTGAACGCATCGCGGGCCTCACGACGGGCCATGAGGGCCCCAAGATGGTCCAGGAGGGCCCCGAGTCGCCGATGGATCGTTCCAAGACGGATGGCCCCCCAGACGGCCCAAGAGGCCCCCGAGACGCCCCAAGAGGCCCCAAAGAGGCGTCCCAAGAGAGCCCCCAGAAGCAAACATCGTCCAATTCTCTGAGGGAAACGTATGGTTTTAGCACATTCGCCACTTGGGCTTTCACAAAGTCCAAGAAGGCACAAGAGGCCTCCAAGATCGCCCCAAGACGGCCCAGGAAGCCCCCAAGAAGGCCCCAAGACGCCCCAAGAGGGCCCCAAGACGGCCCAAGAGGCCCCCAAGACGGCTCCACGAGGGGGCCCAGGCGGGGGACCCGAACGGAAATTTCGAGCCCTCGGCCCCAAGAAGCCTCCAGGAGACCCCAAGAGACCCCCAAGAAGCCCCCAAGAGGCCCCAAGAGGCGCCACAACGGCACCCAAAAGGCCTCAACAGTGCTGCCAGGAGGCCCCCGAGAGACCTACCAGGAGCCACCCAAGGGGTGGGCGGTGCGGCGTAAGCCCAAGAATCTCAAGCCGGTTCTGGTGAGCATCCCACCTGCATCAGCAGAGGCGGCCATGGCTCACCGACGGCCAGGATATCAGTGCTCACCGTGCTACGCTGAAGGCTTCGCTGACAGCCTTCGAGCAACAAACCTTGTGCCAGCGTACGCTGAACACCCAGCCAGCCAGACTTCAGGCTCTGTAAACAGGATGTGCCAGTGTTGTGCATGTAGATCTCTGCGCAGCCTCCACCAGACTGCACCAATCGCCGGGTCCAGGTACCTCGAGCGTGCCCGTACCGGATTGCAGGCCCCACGCTGCCCATGCCCCATTTTTTTGCTCGTTGTTCCCTCTCATACTCCTCCCCGCTCCTCCTGCTCCTGCCGCTGCCGCCCCCGCCAAAGCAGATGACGCCTCAGTTCGGAGCCCAAGCGTCGGGAGCCCGCGCCGCACCGATCCCGGCAGGAGGGCCAGGAGGCATCGGCCGCGGTCTGCCGCAGCTTTCCAAGCACGACGCGGCCGCTCGCATCGCCATGCGAGTGCTCAGCAGCCAGACCGCGGAGGTGATGAGCAGCCAAGCCCACGAGTCTCAAGCTGCCAAGACTTGCCAGAAGCCGACGGAGGAGGCAGACGGCGCACCGGCACACGAGTCCATGGCGTTAGATCATGCGGATTCCCCAGCCGCAGCTGCGGCAGCGTCCCAGCCTGGTGCATCAGAGCCAGGTTGTCAGGACCCGCGGGCGCAGACATGAGCAATAGGCTCGACGAGCAGCTCTTCCACGCGAGCATGCAGGACCCTGTTCCCTCGGGGTGCCAAACGCCAGATGATCCCTGGGATGATCATGCTTCCCTCTTGCTTCCCCTGGCTGGGCCTCGCCAGTCCGGAGGGGTCGCACGAGGAGGCACTGACATTGCCGCACTCGAAGCCGGACCAGTTCAACAGGTGGGCATCGCGGCTGGTCTCTCAGCCTTACTCTTGCCTCTGACACTCTCCGGGCGTTCTACAAGGCAGTGTGGGAGAGCTTGTGTTTGAGACAGGGACTTCCGACGAGGCTGTCGCCTACATCCTCCGCCAAGAAAGCTTACCTGCAGAGGCAATGGATGAGCTCGAGGACTGCATCAAGAGGCACGAGCCCGTCCTGGGCTCCCACAAAGTCCCTAGGAGACTTCATGCTCAACTTGCTGACTCCTATGAGTCCAACAGGTTCCTGATCCCAGGAGGTACAAGCATTGCGCTGCCTCAGATAATCAGGCTCTGGGCCAGGGCAGCAGCTGGGCCGCCTCCATCTACAGCTCTGTGGTGTCTCTGGTCACACGGGAAGCCCAGGACACACGATATTCGCTTGGAGTGGAGCTCCGCCGCCGATTGCAGAAGAACGACCAGTCAGAGTTCGCGTGGAAGACGATACGCCGAGCGTCTTCACGACTCTTTCCATGGACCTCGCCCTTGCTTGACGATGCCACGCTCATGCTTCCGTGCCGCCCAGAGGAGCTTCTTCGGCTTGCGCCGTTCGCCGCCGGCATCACCCTCGACGCGTTGGGGCCCATCGGGCTACGCATGGCCACGGGCAAACCCACCGCCAAACTCCGGTTTCGCGGCAGAGGCTCGGACATCGCCAACCATCATGGAAACAGTGGTCTAGACAAGTCAGGTTTGCTACCCAGCTGCACGACCCCCTCGGCTTATTCGCGGTCAGACAACGCACACACACACACACACACATCTGGGCACTGTCTTAGGCGAAGCTTGCTCGCTTGGACCAGAAAGGGGACACCTACGGCACGCTGCAGCATCGGAGTGGAAGAAGCTAAGAAGCGTCGTTCGCGACGAACACCTGGAACGCGAGGTCAGTCTCATGTTAGTTGATTCCGTTGTGTACCCAAGCAGACTCTACCAAGCAGGCACTAGGCCCACTCCCACCCTACAACATCCTCGGATTCGGGAATGCGCTCAGGCTCGGAACAGTAACAGACCTTTGGAAGGGTACGTCTTAGGGTCCGTTGCTCGTTGGAAGCCTCTCTCAACATTGCCATGCAGGCCAATGCTTCAATGCTGCCCAAATCACACCCAGCTTACGCTCGCCGCAGTCGCAGCGGAGGAGATATGTCAAATCCTACACGAGGCCGGAGTTCCCTAACCTGTCACCGACCCCTCCCACCCACTGCGTGCTCACGAACAAGAAGCTCTTCCTTCCTACCAATCGGCGGCGAGCAAGGGGGGGAAGTGAGAAAGAGAAGGCCTTCTCAGAAGGTTCGAAGTCCCCCGGCCTTCCGAGAAGTTTTCTGAGCCTTCCTCGAAGACAGAAACAGCTTCTCAGAAGGCGCGAGAGCTTCTAACAAGTCCCGCCGCCTTCTGAGAACGCGTTCTACTTCTCATTGCCCCCTCGCTCGCCGCCAAACCAATGCTTGTGGTTCCAGATGAGTCTCAGCACGATCAAGGAGTGCAAACAACATTCGGCAATTAGGCAGCACTGGTCGTTCGGGCACAGAATACGTACCAGTCCAGGAGATGCCCAAAGATGCGACTTCCGCATGACTACGTTCGCACCTCGCAAGCCGCGAATCGTTCTCACCACGATGCGCGCTGGCCATGCTCAGCGCTCCGTCAGGTTGTTCGTCTGAGAAGAGAAAAAAAGGAGCAGCTCAACTTGGAAGCGGCTGCAGCAGCTGACAAGCAAAGTGCAACAGGATGTGGCAGGTAGTGCCCGGCAGTTACAGCATTGCAGATTCGAGGCAAAGCGAGAGACCGAGCGATTACCGACCCATTCGCACGAGCTGTATATGTTTGCTCAGCTGACCGACTCTGAGGCCCGCGAAACTCTGATACGCCCTGATACGCCCAGAGTGTGTTCCCCACCCGACTGGTTGAGGTTGTTAGATTTCAAGAACAGGCCCCCGGGCCAACACCATCCTGCATGCCGCGGCCGCCAGACCCCAAGTTGTCCCGATGATCCCCGAGAATACAAGGTGTCCCGCCTCGCGCCCGGTCAACATCACGCTGCATACTGCGGCTGCCACACCCCAAGTTGTCCCGATGATCCCCGAGTCCCTGGTGGTCCGCCTCGCGCCTTCGACGAACACGACAGAACACAACATGACACAACAGAGCATGACAGAACGGAACAGAGCATGACAAAACCTGACAAGATAAGATAAACAGCATGACAAAACATAGAGCATACCATAACATCGAAAAACACACCAGAGCAGAACATGGCATAACAGAAGACGACATAACACAACAACACATATAACATAACCGAGCATTACACAACGCAACTTGACATAACATATCACATCATGGCACAGCACCACCACATAACATATCATGACACGACAGCAGAGGTAGCGACGACAAACAAGAAATAACACAGCGTGACATAACATAACACGAGCATGACAGACAATGGCAGAACCGAACATAGCAGTGCCATGACAAAGTAAAACATACTAGAACACCAAGTACATACCATAGCAGCACGTGGCAGAGCAGAAGACGACATCCCATAGCATAACATAACAAAGCAAAGCGTAACATGACACACATTGACATAACATGTCATACATATCATGTCACAGCACCACAGAACATATCATGACACGACAGCAGAGCATAGCGACGACGAAAACGACAGCACACAACCTGACACAACAGAGCATGACAGAACAGAACACGAGCATGCCATAACATGACATAACATGTCATAGCAATGTCATGGCACAATATAGCATCACTTAATATCACAGGACATACCAGAACAACACATTACATACAAGAAGACGACATAACACAAAACGACATAACCTAACCGAGCATATCATAACACGACAGCGGAGCATAGCGACGACGAACATGACATACTACAACATGCTACAACACACTATGACATAACACAAACTGAGCATGCCACACCACGGCAGAACCGAACATAACAATGTCATGACAAAATAGAGCATACCTAACATCGAATACCATACCATATCAAAACATGACATAACAAAGACGACCTATCTCAACATATCATACTGTAGCCAAGCATACCATAAGACGCCTTGGCAGAACATAACCTACCATGTCGAACCACCACATACCTTATCAGAACACGACGACAGAACATAGCGACACATACTAGTGAAGCAAATCATGACGTACGGAAGAGCGTGTTCTGCCGCTGCTGGTGGAACACCGGGAGGGGTCACTAGGCGTTCCCAACCCGTCCCCCCGCCCTTCGAAAACCGGGGGGGGGGGTCACGACGGGCGCCGCCACCTCCCCAGGAGTGGCGCCTCCTCCAACGGCAGCACCTTGCGCGGCGCCTCGAGCGCCACGCCGAAGGTGTACCTTGCCCATCGGGGCGGGGAGCAGCCGCAGGGAGGGAGAGGGGGAGGGGGGGAGGAGGAGGAGGAGGAGGAGGAGGAGGAGGAGGAGGAGGAGGAGGAGGAGGAGGAGGAGGAGGAGGAGGAGGAGGAGGAGGGAGGAGGAGGAGGAGGAGGAGGAGGAGGAGGAGGAGGGAGGAGGGAGGAGGGAGGAGGAGGAGGGGGGGGGCCCATCACGTGGAGGGGGAAGGCACGCCGCCCGCAGACCCGCGGAGGCTTCCGCGTGCTCTGGCGAGGCCTCCCCTCGCACGCCTCGTCCTGGTGGACACCCGCTGCGGTGGGCCGCGGGTGCCGGAGCGGCGGAGGCAGGAGGAGGGGGTGGACTGAGAGGCGGAGGGGCAAGCTAGGTACGCTCGCGCCATGTCCGACGTCCTAGTCCTCCCGCCCGTCATTTCCCATCACGCCGGATGGATGATCTATCCGCCGGCGGGTGTCACGGCGGGCCTTGGACCCCCGGAAGGACCCCATCGTGTTAGGAAGGACGATGAGGAAGAAGGAGGACGAGCAGGAACAACAGCAGCAGGAACAGGGGAGGAGCAGGAAGAGCACAACGACCGGGGGAAGGCGGGGACGGGAAAGCAGCTAGGCGACATCGATACCGAAAGGCTCGGATCCCTTTAAAATGGCCCGCGCTGGAGCGAGAGAGTCATTCGGGACGACGGGAGCACTGAGCCGCTATTAAGAAATGAGGCCCACCGTACAGGGGGAGCACCATGCTGAAACACCGAACAAAAAACGTTCCGAATGCAACAAGATCTTGACATCATGTGGACAAGCAACACACGGAGAAGGCGGGATACTTCTAAGACGTACGGTAGAGTCGTGTCGTGCCGACCCCGGCGGTGGATTCTAAAACCAAGTGAATCGTCCAACCTTCAAGGGTCGGCGGCTGTTCGATCGCCAGATCGTTCCATACTCGCCGATTCTGGGCCGCTGGCGGCGTTGAAACTTGAAAGCACGCGGCGGAGTCGCCGACGCGTCGACACGACACCATCCTACCACAGCCCGGGCGGATAGGAGAGTAATACATTGAGCAATTGTAAAGGGCAGGTGGTCGCGCGCTCACATCGAAGCAAGTGATACCTTCTCCTCCGCCTCCTCCTCCTTCTCCTCCATTTGTACGGAGCGGAACTCGCACGGAGTGGAACTCGCACGAAGCGGAATTTGCTCATACGAAATTCGCACACACGGACTCGCACGCACCGAACTCGCACGACGGAGCTCGCACGACAGAGCTCGCTCAAACAAACCCGCACGGCATGCGTTCGAATAAAACTCATGGGATACTTTCTCAAACCGACTCTGCGCACGAGTGCGCAAAACAACTACTAAAAGTCAGCCTGCGACGAGGGTTGACAGTGACATTAAATAAGCAAACGTCCGACGACGACGACGACGACGACGACGAGTCCACGATGACGCCGACTCCAACGGCGACGACCTCCATCACCAGACCCCAAGATGGCATTCGGATCGCCTCAGGACCTCTGGATCGCCACAAGAAAGCCCGAAATGGCCCCCGTATGGCATCGGTATTCGCTCTGGAACGCTTTTGGGAGCACCTTCCTTCGCTTGAGGAGGTCCAGCACGCAACCGTAGGCAAAAGTGTGCCGTCGTGCACAAACTGCCGACCGCTCGGAGCACGAGGAGCGAGCGGAGAGAAGCAAACGCGACCGACGACGACAACGAGTCCAGCGAATACGAAGACGCCGGCGACGACCTCCACCATCACCTGCCACAAGAGGACCTTCGGGTCGCCTCGAGACCTCCGGATCATCTCAGGATGGGCCTAAGATGGCCTCGAGTGATTGCACTGAAGTTCGTGGAGCGCCCTTGCAGGGGCACTCCGGCGCACAAACTGCGCACGCGTGCGCGCACTTGCGCGTCGGAGTCTGGCTCCACCCACGGCTGAAGACGACGACGACGACGACGACGACGACGACGACGACGACGACGACGACGACGACGACGACGACGACGGAGGAGAACGAAAAAGATGTGATGAAGAAGACGATGACCACCCCAACGCAAAACGCCGCACCCACACGCAGCGCGGCCACAACCGCCGTCAGGATCCAACCAGCTCTCAGGGCTTGGGTGGCTCAGGGAGTTTCCTCTTCCACCCCCCCTTCTTCCCCTTCCGGCAGGGGTTATCCCTGCTCGTTACTGATAAACACCCCCTCCCCCATCCGACCGGCGACAAACCCAGGACACTGCCAACACCCTCCCACAATACACCACGCGAAATGGTTAAGAAATCATGGGTTAAGAAATTCATGGTCTCAGAACTCGAATAAAAACCCACAATTTCTATCAAAATCTTACGAATTACGTTGAAAAGTTAAGAATAATCGAGACTCTGGACGAAAACTTAGGTTTTCTTAAGCATCGCCTAAGGTGTACCTCGAAACAAAAAACAACACAAAGGGCATGCTGCACCAAAATTGGGATCATGCGCGGACGCCCCGTGATCCCTTTGCATCGGTTTTCGACAGGGACGGCGGCGGGGCTGGCATACTGCCTGCTGTGCGCAGTGTTAACACCACCACCACCATCCCTGGCAAAACAACAATCCAGAGCGCACGTTGCATCAAAATCTGGATCATGCGCGGGCGCCCCACGAGCACTCTGCTTTGGTTTTTGACAGCGACGGCAGAGGGGTCGGCACAGCAAGCCCCCCATCCCTGTCGAAAACAGTTGCAACATGATTACGCGTGCACGCACACACGCACTACACAACGCTGGTAGACCCGCCGTTGCTGTGCATTGGTCTTGCAAGGGATGCTGGGGGGTCCACATGTGTCCCAATGTGGCGCACCTGGCGCGTGTGGCGCAGCTGGCATGTGCGGCGCACCTCGCGGGCGTCGCGCAACTGGCTGGCGTCTGCTTCGGTTCCCGACGACTGACGATGGCGTCCCCTGCCCGTGCTGAGACTTGGGTGCTATTTGTGTAGCAGGCTGGCGGGAGTGAGCGAGACAGCTTGCAGCGTTCCCAGGATCGGTGTACATAGGGCAAAAGGGATGGCATAAACATGATAACTCGGAGGTCCGCGCGGATTTCTCGGATCGGCGCTGGACCCTCCTCCCTGGCGCGCAGAGCGCGCCAAGGGTCCAGTGCCGATACGATAAATCCGCGCGGACCTACGAGTTGTTATGTTTATGCCATTATTCGTTCCCCTAATTACCTAGCACACGCCTACCCCGAGGAAAACGAGGAGAAGGTGTGAGCAGACGGCGTGCTTCGAGAGGACGCTGCGAAGAGAACGGGGGGCACGAGTAAACCTCTGGCAGCGTCTTGCCTGACAGCACCTCCTCGCGGAGCACCGGCATCTTGCTCCTCAGGTCGTCCAGGCTGTCGACCTCCCGCCGAGCGTAATCCTCCTTCCCCACATTCCTCCCTCCCTCCCTTCCTCCCTCCCTCCCCCTGCTGCTGCTGCTGCTGCTGCTGCTAGTGTCCAGGGTGAGCTCGCCAAGGCGGATCAGGAGTACCGTGGCATCATCGCTGAGCTGGCAGGGGGCATCGTGCAGGCGAAGTCTGAGCAGCCAGCCAAGATCTGCGTGTCGAAACTAGTTAGTCAGGAGTTCGGTGCCGAAGGCATCTTCGACGTCTCAGCCTTCTTCGACATCGAGGAATACGAGGCGGCGGACAGCGACAAGCAGGGGATCGAGCGGAGGATGGACGCCACGCAGGAGGCGCCGCAACAGCGTGCCGAGGATCTCTTCGCAGGCGCATTGGCGTCGGTCGAGGGCATCTAAAAGGAGCGCGCGGGGCGCGAGACCAGGAAGGATGGCCAAGAAAAGGAGGGTCACAGGGGACGACCCAGCAGCATTGAAGGGAAACTGGGACACACAAATAAATACACACAAATAAAAGGATTCCCCATATTTTCCCATATTTCCTGGGTTTCTGTCTTCCCCCCCGCTTCCCATATTTTCCCATATTTTCCTGGGAATCGCCGATTAATTGTGTCTGTGTGTGTTTTCCTCTCCTGAAGCATCGGCGCCCCCAGCTTCAGGAGCCCGGTGCCAGCCGAGCCGCGGCGGGCGCCCCGCGGAGCCGGCCGCCGACGCAGGCAGCAGCCTGCTGCCGAGGAGGAGGTTCCTGCCTGCACCGACCTTGAGGGGGGCGAGCCGAGGAGGAGGAGGAGGAGGAGGAGGAGGTGGAGGAGGAGGAGGGGGAGGAGGAGGGGGAGGAGGGGGAGGAGGAGGAGGAGGGGAGGAGGAGGAGGAGGAGGAGGGGGAGGAGGGGGAGGAGGAGGGAGGAGGAGGAGGAGGAGGAGGAGGAGGGGAGGAGGAGGAGGGGAGGAGGAGGAGGAGGAGGGGGAGGAGGAGGAGGAGGAGGAGGAGGAGGAGGAGGGAATTCGCCCGCGGCGGCGGAGCGGCTCCTGCCCGAGGCCGCCCCATCGGCAGGATCTGCTCCGCCCCGAGGCGCCTGCTCCCGCGCCCAGCAGCTGGCCGGGGCCGGCGCTCGGGTCACCGAGTCGGGATCGAAGTCCGAGCCCCCGCCTGGCAAGGCCTATCGCGGGCGATGTTTCTCCCCCAATCCCCGTGTTTCGCCCGAAAAGTCTGGCCGCTCAAAAGAATGGGAAAACCCTGGGATACACCCCAAGGGGGCTATTCGGACGCACCCCTATCGAGAATGGACACCCCCCCATCGAATATCCCAGGGTTAGGCCCCAAATTTCTGGTCCATTCGGAAACCCCACGAAGCCTGGGATAGGGGTCGACATATCCCCTGTTAGCCTATACGGGGGGGGGGGGCGCCTTTCAACCGTACCAATCGTCTTAAGCAGGCCCGCAAGGATTCCCGCCGCCCACGTCTTCTGCAAGATTCGTGGTTCAAGCTCCGGTGCTCACTGGGGATCCCCCGGTTTGATTCGCCCCGCCCCCCTTCCCCCCCGTCGGGCCCCCCAGGGCGAAAGGCCGAGGCATCTGGGGGGGGGTCCTATTAGCACCAGTCGTAGCAGCAGGCAAGCCTCGGGACACAACGGGGTCGTGCCTTACTCCGCCGAGAGGGGGGCCTGGAGGCAGGGGTTCGGGGTCTGGCTATGTCAGCGATGGGGTTCTTCGAACACCTCCTTCGCCGCCGCTCGACGACTTCTCCCTGCTTGTCGAAACGTGCAACTGTACGAGGTGGCGTTCCATCGAAGATTGGTTGAAGCTCACGCGTGCGCGTGTCATCGCGGCGCAGGAGCACCACCTGAGAGGTGATCAAGTTTTGGGCGCTGGCTCGTGGCTTCAGCGTCATCAATGGAAAGGTGTGTCCTCTGAGGCGCTGCCTGGCCCAGGCGGAGGCACGCTCGGAGGCGTAGCAGTTCTGGCGCGGCACTGGCTGGGCCTGCACTAAGCGTTCGGCAGCGAGGGCGCAGGGACTGCAGTGCCCGGCAGGGCGATGGTGTCGAACGCCCATTTGCCCAGCTCCACTCCCATCACCATCGCCTCCCTCTACCTCCACGACCCCGAAGGACTGTCGGATCGAAACTTAGACATATTAAGTAAGGCGGGGGGGGACGTTGGCCACGATGGGGAATGAGACGATCGTTTGGGGGGGGGATTTCAATCTCCCCCCTGAGGCTCCCTTGGATAGCGGGCCCCCTGAGAAGTTAGGAGAAATTGTCAAACCTGATTGCGAAGCCACGTGTTTTACTGGACAAGGAGGCAAGTCCTTTATCGATTTTCCGATGTGTCCCCAAGGGTGGGTAAAACGAGCCAGGCCGTGGAGAGTATTGCGGCCACGGTGATCAAAACCCACGCCCCTGTGCAAGTGACCCTGTTCCCTCGTGCGGCGCAGCTCCAAGCTCTGCAGTTCCGCCGCCACCCGCGCCTGCCGACTGTCAGGCCTATCGGCCCTGCCTCCGCTCCCCCGTCTTGGGACTCGGCCCTGGCCTTCGGTCGCCATGCGCTGGAAGCTGCTGGAAAAGGGCAGGCGCAGCAAGCCCTCACTGGCATGGACCAGTTGTATAAGCGGTTTGCTAACAAAGCTGAACTCGAGGTAGCCCAAGTCGGGCAGGTTGATCTGTTTTACTCTGGGAGCCGAGGGAGGCCACCTGAGCTCCAGCGGGCCCCAGTGTTCAATGCGAAAACGGATCCAATCAGATACCCGACTATGGCGGCCATGAAGTGGCTGCCCCATCGTGCGAGGCAAGTTTTTGGAGCTTTCAGGCCAGTGACGAGCAGGCGGCGCTTCGAGGGGCGTGGGCTCCGCCGCCCCAGTTTGTGCTGGAAGGCATTGGGCAGTGCTGCAGCCTGCTAGCCACTGCTGAAGCCCTGGCCTCAGCGGCCCGTTCGCCCGGCGGGCTTGGCCGCTCTAAAGTGGGGCCTTTTCTTGCTGGGGTGGACGGGGATTACGGGGAGGTGGCGAGGGCTACCATGGGGGAGGAGAGGACGGGATGGAAAAATTGGTTGCTTGCCAATATCAATCAAGGGGGTAGGAATGCGCACCTGGCTAGTACGCCAGCGCCTGGCTGGAAGCCAACGACTACGCTCAGCGCTGGAGGGCTCGTCATTTCGGACCCCCTGGCCCTTCTCCAGGCGGAATCCAGCAGGTTCGGGGGCCTCTGCAAGGCCACGAGCGCGCCTGACCGAGGAAGAGGTTTTGAGGGTATCCAAGAAGCTCTTCCGCGCCTTGAGCCAGCCTTCATCAAGGGTGTCTCATCATGAGGCATTACAATTGGCTCATCGATGAGGCCCTGTCGGTTGTGTCAAATATGTTTTCGTTAATGGAAATTCTGTCCACCCTCCCCTCCCAAGTCAAGATCATTCAAGTGGCTCTGCTTATTAAACCCACGGGGGGGCGGAGGCCCATGGGCCTCTTCGTGTCGTTGTTTCGTCTGCGGGGGCGTTGTGGGAGAGTGCGCGCCCAGCAATGGGAACGCTCTCATATGAGGCCCTACTTCGCTGGATCCAAATTTGCCTCAGCGCGCGCTGTGGTTTGGAGCCGAGCCTTGCGATCAGAAGTAGGAACTGCCAGGGGGTAGACCTCAGCTACAGCGCTGTGGGACAAGACCAAATTCTGTGAGACCTTCCAGCTGGACAGGCTTTTAGTTGAGTGTGGTGCCTTCGGATCTCCGATGGCGATCGCTCAGTTATGCGTCAACGCTTACCACAGTGCCCGCTACCTCAGTCTGTCATCGATGGTAGCAGGCCCACACTATGCCTTGCTTGGGGCCATCGCGGGCTGCAGCTTCGCCACGACGTTTGCCCGAATCTACATCATCGGGCCATTCGATCGTACGCATGCGCAGCGGCCGAGAAGTGTGCATGTAGATCAGTATATAGATGGCACACGGCTGAACAGCACGGGAAAGGTCAAGGAAGAGGCCATGGATATCAAAGAGGCTTCGGCGGCGCTTTATCAGATGTTTGTCACTGAATTGGGTTGTGACGTCTCTCGGGGTAAAGCCAATTTTGCGCGTTCTGACACAGCTGCGGCGGTGGGGTTAAGGCGGTTTCTTGGGGATATTGTGGGCCCTGTCGCTGAGAGTGCCACTAATCTTGGGATTGACGACGCGGTGGGGAGACCTCGCAGGATTCGGAACCGCGGGGAGAAGTTTTTGGTCAGGGCCAAGGTTCTCAAGACGCAATCGAGCAAAATTCGTAATATGGGCAGGTGCTTCGGACGGTATTATAATCGCATTTTTGTCTCGGGCACTCTGCCTTGCATAGAATGTGGAGCGGCCGTTCATGTGATTTCTGACAGGGAAGTCCGTCTCATGCGGCAGTCGGCTGGCAAGGACCCCTGCCCGCAGGCTGCTGGCAGGTCGCTCACTACGCTCATGATACTCGAGGACGTACCGTCCTGGCGGTGCGAGGTAGCGGCGATCCTCTGCTACGCCAGGGAGGTCCGGGCCGCTCGCACTCGCTCTTACCCTTATGGACTTACCTTCCAGGAGTCGAGGGAGGCCTGGAAGGATGGGGTACCTGGAGGAGGATATCAAGGACTGGAAGCAGGTGAAGGGTCCGCTTGCTGCCTTGAAGCTTTCGCTTTTGAGGATATCTTGGGCGACTTTGGGGAGGAGGTGGTGTTGACATACATCTCTCCCTCGTTGTTGAAGGGCATGCTCTTCCGTGCGGTGCTTAGGTCCTTAGAGCGCGATGCCAGTAGGAAAGCTCAGATGGAGTGCCCTCGACTGTGCTTTGATGCCCCTAGAGCCTGGCTCCGATCGAATCGATCGACGCCGCGCGGGAAAAGAAGTGTGGCATCGCTTGTGTGTGGCGCGATCTGGACTCCGAATCGCGCGTTAGAATGTGGATATCAAGTCGAGTCAACTAAGCGTGCCAGATGCCTTGTATGCGAGGACTCGGAGTTCCACCGCTTGTGGGAGTGTGCCAGTTGCGCGGATCAGCGACTGACCACTATAGAGCAAGAGGATATCAATCGAGCTCTTGCTGTGGAAGGGCCTGTCGAGAAGTTGTTGCATTCCAAAAGGATCCGCGCCCTGCCCCTCCTGGGACAACTAACTTGAGTTGGACTGGCCCGACCCGGGATGATGGATACCTTGCTGGGAATATCTTTGCTGCTGGTAGCTGCAGCAGGCGTATCATTCCTGACCTCCAGAGGGCTGGATGGGGAGTGGTACAGTGGAGCAGTGGGGGTGGCGTGGAAGGAAGGCTAGTCGGACCCGCCCCCTCCCCCCTCACGGCTTCCCCCCAGGCTGGAGAGTCTCAGGCTGTAGCAATGGCGGCGCCCCAGCTCGTCGGACACAGCACCATGTACTAAGATGGTTTAAGTGTTGTTAAACAGTGCGCCCAGCCGCTAGTGTAGCAGTTAAGATAATTTGGGCCTTATGCAGGCGTGATGCAGTTCTTCCAGCAAGGAGCCACATGGGTCGATAGTTTTCGGAAAGTGAAAGCCCATTTGGACCCGCACGAGGCTGGCTTAGAATTTCTAGGGCGGTGGCGTCGTCTCGGGAATTCTGCCGCCGACTCTGCTGCGTGCGCTGGAGCTGCCATGCATCCTTCTTGGTTTGAGGAGGACGAGATGGAGCTCCAGCGCCGCATCAAGGTCGCTAAACAAGCTTGTGGTTTAGCCGCGGAACTGCCCCCACTATGGCACAAGCTTGACCTGTCCGAGGTCGAGCTTGTCCATCCTCCTCGGCCCGAGCAGGCTCCTCTTGCCCCTGCTTTGCATGGCCATGTGTGCGAGAAGCTGCGGGGTTTTCACCTTTGCCTGAACTGTAATCGAGTGAGCAGAGGGCAGCAGAAGCCCACCTCTGGGCAGTGTACCGAGGTGCACGGCTTGACCGCCTCCTCGCTCAAAACACTCCAGCACGTGTGTGTATATCGCTTGTGTGTAGTGATGGTGCGATGCTCACTGTGTGTTCGAAGTGCAAGAGCTATTCCAGCCACGGACAGATTCGAGGCCTGGCCGTGGAGTGCAGCAAGCGACCAACCCGCCACACCCTGGACAATTGGAGGTTGACCTGCAAGGGCCGACACCCCAAGCGCCCAAGGGGGTTCGGTGGAAACGGGTCCTTGGTCGCTTGTATAACTGTTCTCGAAGCCGTCCTGGTTGACCCCTCCTCCTGCCTCTATTCCTCCTCCTCCTCCTCCTCCTCCTCCTCCTCCTCCTCCATATTCGTCCCCCCTCCTCCTACTCCACCTCCTCCCCGCTGGTCGTGCTGCTACTGCCGCTCTACCTCGTCCTCTTCCTCCTCCTCCTCCTCCTCCTCCTCCTCCTCCTCCTGCTCCTCCCTGCTCCCGAACGGCAACTGCCTCGAGAACGACGCACCCGCAGATGAACTCCCGCCGCCGGAACACGCCCATCTCGCCCGCGTTGCAGGCCTCGGCGCGCTGGCGCGCTGGCCCACACCGCGACCCTCTCTGAACGCGCGCCCGCAAAGGGGGTAGCATTAGGTTGGGCATGCCCTCCTACAGAGGATTTTGGACCACAAGTAATAATAAGTAGTAAAACAGATTCCGAAATGACAAAGTCATAGACAAATCGCCCCTGAGGCATTTTTTGACTACTTTTTGAATATCTCCTGTAGAGAGAGAGGGAGAGGGGCAGTCCTGACTGAAGGGTAGCAGGAGGGAGCAGGCAGGCGAGCGGTGGCGATGGCTGATGCTGGCCGCGCTCTCGCCGAAGTCCCCGGCGGCACTCTGGCGGCCAGCGAGAGGGGCTGAATGCACTGGGCACGCACCCTGGTCCTGTCCCTCACCTGACCCGAAGGACGATGATGATGATGATGATGATGATGATGATGATGATGATCATGATGATGATGATGATGATGATGATGAGGAGGAGGAGGAGGAGGAGGAGGAGGAGGAGGAGGAGGAGGAGGAGGAGAGGAAGTAGGAGGACTTGTCAGGGGCAGGGAGGATGGCGCCGGAGGAACGGCCCGCGGCATGCACCAAGGGGTGCGAGGGGGAGCGAGAGGGGGGTGGGGGCGGGAGCAGGAAGGAGCCATGGGCACTGCCCCGAGGCGGCCGACAAGGCGCGCACAGGTGCAGACAGTGGCAGCGTGAGGACAGGAGGGCCCACGGAGGAAGAGAGCTTCCGTGCAACAGAACTCGAGACAGAACCGAGTATACAGTCGGGGCGTTGACCTAAGGACCCCAAATAAGGTTTTCCTATCCAGAACATAGGAAAACCTGAGGCAAGCTGTGAAACACTTAAGGAACACCGAGCCCCTCCCCAACGAAAAGGGTTCCTTCTTCAGGGCCCCGACTGCATAGCGGAGAGGAGAGGGAGAACGACCCCCTTCACATTCACAGGTTCTCATCCTGGATCGGTCAGCTGAGGATGGTGAGGGCTAACTGCCGACAGTTACTGGCTGTGGGAGAGAGGAGGGGAGAGAGGGAGGAAGAAGCAGGGGCGATGGCCTCGAACCGTACGGTGCACCTCAGAGACCCCCGCGTGCCCCTGCCAAGTCTCACCAAGGCTGGCGGAGGCTGCGCAAAGGGATCCCGTCAGGAAGAAAAAGGGGGGGGCTCGATTCGCCCGCAATGAGACCTCTGGTCATAGCACCGCAGGTACATCATCCTGCTCCTCACCCTCCTCCTCCTCCTCCTCCTCCTCCTGCTACTCCTGCTACTCCTGCTCCTCGTCCTCGTTCTCGTCCTCCTCCTCCGCCTCCTTGAAGTCTCTTCCTCCTCCTAGTCCTCCTCCTCCTCCTCGTCCTCTCGTCCTCCTCGAAGGCTCTTCCTCCTCCTGCTCCTCCTCCTCCTCCTGCTTCTCTCCCTCCTTCCAGGTCATGCAGGGTTCTGGGGGTGATCCCCCTTCCTCCCATCTCATCCCGCACTTGAACGCTTTCGAAGGGAGGGGCAGGGGGGAGGGAGGGAGCAGGGGGAGAGGGAGATGATGGATCATGGACTGGTCTGCCCCCAAAGCTAAGCAAGCCTGGGAAAGAGGAAGGCGAGTGCCACGACAAGATCAACGACGGTGCTGCGAGCACCGCCCGCCACCGAAAGAATTGATGGGGGGAGGGGGGAAGCAAGGAGCACTCCACCAACGATGCGTTTCGACCCTGACCGGCCATCGCAGCACAGCTGGCCCGCCAAGCTGAGACCGCGGCCGTGCAGAGATTTGGCCCACAGGCCGCGCCTTACGTTGCATCCTCGGGGGACCTTGTCTCCCCTCTCGGCCCTGTCCGCGTTGAATCGGTGTCGAATCCATGTCGGACTCGTCGGGTCCGTGTCGAGTCCTTGCCGAATCCTCGCCGAATCCGCGCCAGGTGCGCGTCGAGTCCGCACCAAGCCCGCGTCGGGCTCAAGGAAAGACACCAATTTGGGGGACAGGCGAATGCCTCGCGACCACCTGCGGACCCCCTTCAGTCCTGCCTGGCACCACCTGGGCAGGGCGGGGCGGGTGCTGTCTCGAGGCAGCGGCGGGCGAGACCGGGCTGTCCAACGCCAGCCACCTCCACCTGCACCGGCGCAGGCGCCAATACTGCCCGGAGAACGGGCTTGCAGGGGAAGGAGGAGGAGGAGGAGGAGGAGGAGGAGGAGGAAGACGGAGGACAAGAGGGAATGGGGATCACTGCGCGCTCATGCGGAGCCATCCGAATTGTCGTGAGACGCGCATCCGAGCGTGCGATGCGCACCCGCATGCGGAAAGCGTCGGAGACGCCACTTTCGGCTGGGAGTGCGAGAATCATAACCGGCTGGCAGCCGGCCAACCCTGAGCCAACAAATCGCGCCCCCCCTGGCAAGAGAAGACGGCACGCATGCGACGCTATTGGCCACGCGGCCGGGACAACAGACGGCCGGATCCACAATCGACGGGCTGGCATCCCCCAAGCGGGCCGCCCGAGAGGGGGCGAGGCGAGCACGGAGGAGGGAGGGGGGGGAACTCGCCCACGACGAGCGTCTCTCCTGCATCGCGGGCCCTCTGGCTGGCACAAATAAACGGCTCCACGATTCAAAAAGGAAAGGGCAGGGAGGGGGGAGGGGGGCCAGTGAGCGCCTCGGGGCGCGCCCACGCGGCAACCTAAACGGTCGCACGTCCGATGGGGGTATTCCGTGACACAGCGAATTGGGATGCGATTCGTTTTCTCCGCGCAGGGAAAATCTACACGGTCGCTTGCCACGCTGCGCGATGCCTCCCGCGCCGCACAATGGCAGCGGAAATGTCACGAATTCCGGCTTTGCCGAACCTGTGCTGTTTGCTGCGCCCGGGGGTCTCTCCGGGAACAACGCGCGCTGGAAGGTCTTGGCCGGGTGGGCGCCGCCGCATGTCATGTCCCCGCCGCGTGGCCGATGGCGCAACAGATGCTACGCGACGCCTCCGATCCACAGGAGGCGGCGGAAGCGGGGGGCGGAGGAGGGAGGGGAAGAGGAACGCACTCGACGAGCTTCTCGCCTGCGTGTGGGTCATGGGCCCAGTGGCCGGCTGAAGTAAACCGCGCCAAAAAGTGAGGAGGGGAAGGGGGGGGGGGCGGGAGCGGAGGACAGAGGAGGCGTCTCGCCTGCGGCACGGGCCCTCTGGCCGGCCCAGATTAACTGCGCCGCATTTCAAAAGGGAAGGGGAAGGGCGGGGGCGGAGGGCGGGCGGAGGGAGGGAGGCGAACTAGGAGCCTGAGCGGCGTCGCTTCACGGCGGAGGAAACCAGAGACATTGCTTTTGGGTGTCCCCCGACGCCCCCCCGAACAAAGCCGCGCAAGAGGCCGGTCACGTCCGAAATGCCGCCTTGGCGCCGGCTGCTGGCGTGGAGCCGGCACATGGCGTAGACCCCCACTGCGCGGAGCGCCGCTGCGCGAGCCGCGTCCCAGTCTCGACCGCGAGGCGCCGAGGCTGGCGACGTCGCGATGCCAAGGAAGTCCGCGAAACACTGGTCAACTGGAGGCCTGCCGAGTCCCAGCCAACGCTGGCAGAGGTCGTGGAAGCGGGGGCAAATGGCGTAGTGCCCCAAAGCGTCGCGACAGCTTGGGCAGCCTAATGCACAAGTGACTCTCCGTCGCTGGCCATAGCCGGCAACCCACCCATCGAACGCCGCGCGGAACTGGCAGGCCTGCACGCGCGGCAGGAGCAGCGCGGAGACGGCCCTCCTGCTCCCCAACCACTTCGCCATGCGGCGCCCAGGCAGCACTTGGATGTCCCATCTGCCCAGTCGACGGCGAGCGTGTCGCTGCACCTCCAGAGAATTGCGAACACTGTGAAGTTTGATCGCCCGGGCCTGCCACCCAGCTCGCTGGTGTTCTTCACACCCCGCCTGTAACATGAGTCTGCCGTCTGGCCCTGGATCCTCAAGCAGCGTCGATGCCGACTCCAACGAAAGGATGAAGCAGCCGTGGAGCCAGACACTGCAATGGGCAGAACAGGAATGGCCACCCGCACTCGTCATTTGCAACCTCATTGAACGAGCTCGCCGTGCGATCTGCAAGCCCCCGCGCGCCGCTTTCTCGTGGACTGCCACCCGGGCGCGGGCTGCCGCCGAGCCGGCGCGGATGTCAGGGAGCTCGATCGGAAACGCCGCAGACTTCATTCCCCTGAGAAATCCTGCTGTCACCCAGCCTGGGGGGCCCTGGAAGAGCGCGCGGCAGGCGCGGCCCTCAAGCGCGCCGAAGTCTGGAGGCAAAGGATCAAGTTGAGCAACGAACTTTAGCACGGAGGGGACGAAGACTCTGCGAGCGTCCACCGAGTGGAATAATTCGAGCCCCATCGTGCCCCACAGCCGCGCCCTCTCAATGAACTTCTTGAAAGCGGCCTCCCATGAAAGAAGGCCCCGGCTAGGACCAACGCAGAAACCGAGATACTTAGCCTTCGAATCCACCGTCAACGCACCCCAAAGGGGAGCAAGCTCCGCCAAGCGGGCACGAATGCGAACCGGGTCGAACGGACTATGCGGCACGAGCACCGTCTGGGAGACATTGAGAGCCAGCCCCGACATGCGCTCATATTCTTGGAAGATGGCCTGGAGGCGGCCGATGACTTCCAGATGCTGGGGTGCACGAGCGCCGCGTCGTCCGCGAATGCTCTGAGCGTGCCGCCTGGGGTCTGCCGAACGAGCCCTCTCAAAAGCACGTCCTCTGCAACGGCGAACAGGAGCGGCGACAGCGGGCACCCCTGTCGAATGCCCCGGCAGATTGCGAATCCATGATGTCGGGAGCCCCCCAGGACAATCTGGCACCGTAGGTTCGCGCAGAGCACGGAGATGAAATTGGGCAACCAAACCGGCCAATCCAGGGCCCGGAAAACTTCCTGCATAAATGTGTGCTCCACCGAGGGGAACGCCGCGGCAAAGTCGTAGAACATGGCGCCCCCGTCCTCTGACGAGCATGCGCTCGAGGCCATGGCCTCGTCAATGTCCACCAGGTTGGCGAGCGTCGACCGGCCCCCGATGAACCCGCGCTGGGCCGGCCAGACCTGGGAGCCCACCAATGGTTCGATCGCCAAGCGCACCGCGCTGGCGAGGGGCCTGTTGTCGGTGTTCGTCACGTTGGGCGGGCGTGCGTTCCCGACTTCGCAGCATCCTTCCCCCGTGGGGGTAAGGCCTGACAGCTTCTTCGGGAGGAAGAAAAGCAAGCTGCTGTTGAAGTCCCTCGTTACTCCTCGCCGGTGAGTTCTGGGCCGCCCTCCCCGCACATCGCCTGGATGGCGCCGAAGAAGACTTGGGCTGGCAGATCCACGGCCCGGCGCCAAGCGACGAATGGGATGAGGTCTGGGCCCGGCGCGGAATCGTTGGAGCTCAGCACTGCCTCTCGGATATGCTGCTGCTCCAGGCGGAGGTTGCGCAGGGGCGAGTCGAAGAGATGTTGCTGGCGTCTGTCGTCGCGGTCATCGTCCAGCCAAGCTTGGAGTAGAGTGCGGTCGATCTGAGACGCGTTGAATGTCTCTGCCCAGTGAGAGCGAAGCTCCGCGGCCATGGCGCTCGGCGCGACCACCACCTCGCCGCGCCGGGTCTGCACGGCCCCCAGGTTGCAAGTTCGACCTGGCGCTGTGCGGAAGATCAGGCGCGTATTCTTCTGTCGGGCCTGTCTGGCGCGCTGCTCGTTCCCTCCGGTCAGCTCAGGGTGCGTCTTGCCCAGCTCGTCGAGCGCGTGCTCGCGGGCGAGTTGAAAAACGTGGTCCTTGACCTTCTGGAGGCGCCGGGACATGTTGCCCTCTAACTGGTACGGGTTGTCCACCATGTCCTTGAGGAGCGGGCATCGGATCAGGCAATATGAAATATCCTTACAGTATAATTTCTCAGAGGCCCAGATGAACTTCATAGCGACCCCGATTCTGCCTTCTAGGGACATTGCGGCCGGCGGGCTCCGCAGCTCATGGTCCAGACGCTCAGCCACGGCGCGGGTACAATTCTTGAGCATGCGTCGCCTCCCCAGGGCGGAGGCCGGCGGGTTGCCCTCGAGCGCGTCGAAGTACTCGAGAGCGAGGCGGCGCGGGAACTCGTCATGTTCCAAGGCGCGCCTGGATATGTTGCGCTCGTTGGCCGGGAGCTTCTGCGGGGCGTGGCGGGCGAAGAACACTGCCCTGTGGTGCGAGAGGTCGTGGCGCCATTCGAGGGCGGACACCCGGAGCTGCCGATCAAGTTGTTCAGCCACATGCTGGTTGCAATAGATGCGGTCCAGTCTGGAACGTGCACTGGCCGACGCGTGCGTAGGCTCCCCCTGGTACATCTCGTGGAGGGCGTACGGGAGCCCGAGGACAGACCGAAAATGCGATTCCTCACCCCCGTCACGGCGACCAGAAGCTCCGCCCGAGTTGGGGGACATCCTGTCGTCGGAGGAGGCGACGTAATTGAAGTCACCGCCGAGGAGCGTGAGCACGTCTCGGGGATCGGCCAAACTGTCGGCGATCCTGGAGCGGAGTAGTGCCCGGAGGGACGGGAAAGAAGTAGCCGATGACCTCAAATGCGGATCCAAACCAATGACCTCAAATGCGGACCTCAAATGCCGATGACCTCAACATGTTACTATTATGTTGAATATTCCCCTGGAGAAAGGCATGCCCGACTCAAGGCCAGGCGGGGCCGTCTCCCTCGCGCACATAAATGCGCGGCCCTTCCTGTCGTCGTCCTCCCGCGTCCCGCTCCGGCGGCCCTTGGTCCATCACTCTTCGCCTGGTTCCTCCAACCTTTGAGACGAACATCCTGGAGGCCTCGCGCAGCAACTTGAAACCCCATTTACGTGGAACCACATCGGAATTACGTCGGGGTCGTCGAAGCTGCGTCGGAACCACGTCGGAATTACGTCGGATCTACGTCGGAGCATCGCCGCGCGAACGTCGTCCCAGATCTGACGGGGCGGACGTGTGAAGTATATGATGAAACTATTGCGTGCCGCCCGAGGCCTCCTCGAATGGTTCTTCCCACTCCACTCCTCGCTGCTCGCGTCTCGTGGAGCACACAGGAGGCACCTGTGCTTGCATACCACCGCGCCTGGGCCTGGCCAGACACGGCGGTATTGCATACATGGGGTGCCTAACCGCGGGGGGTTATAAGGCCCTCGTCCCCATCGACGCCCTCCTTCGAGCGCCCAGACATGCGCAAACGCCCAAACATGCGCAAATGCACCGTTGGCCGCCACTCCCCCTACACACACGAGCCCTCGACTCCTCCTCCTGCGCACCAGAGAGGCGCAATCCGCACAACTCGCCCCCACCTTCCTCCTCCTCCTCAACTTCCTCCTCCTCCTCCTCCTCCTCCTCCTCCTCCTCCTCCTCCTCCTCTTCCTCCACCTCCTCATCTTCCTCCTCCATGTCCTCCTCCAGGGGCAATCATCGGCTACACGCACGAGTGACCCTGGACAAGAGTGACCTGTGGCCCCGCACCACGAATCATTCCGGCGGAGCGTCACTCTCACGTTGTGCCCGGAATCAAACCTTTCACCTGGCACGCTGAGCCGCGGGCCGAAGCGAACGCCAGCGCAGCCACGTCCGTCCCGGGGTCCACGTCGAGGTCCTGGCTCCGAGGGCGGGCGGGGTGCGGTCCGCCTGGGCGGCAGGAGAAGGGCAACGAGCGCGCAGGACGCATCTGCACGCCACCACGGTGCCTGGCCAGGGCCATCCTGGGCCTTGGTATGGTATACACGCCCCCTTGGCCGAGGCCGGGGGGGCGTTAAATGACAGCGCACCATCCCAGGGTCCCAGATGGCCCTGGCCAAGCACGACGCCCAGAAGTGGCTGGCAAGCGTGGGCCCGTTGCGAGAAGGAGAAAGAGGGCAGAGGGGGCCGGAGAGCGCACCACTTCGGACGACGGGTTCGGCCCGGCCCGCAGGTTGCAGGCACCCGCTGGGCAGGCCTCACACTGGCGGGGGGCCCCGCTCGAATGGCAGGACTTGGAAAAACCTGCCCTCGCGGCGCGGTCGAAGTGGGGTCCTGGCCTGGAAAGCCGACGGGCCGCGGCGATCGGGGCGCGGTGCAACCTGCCTGCACGCCCGAAGTCGAAAACAAGCTCTGGCTTCTAGCACACCTTGCCCAAGAGAAGGCGCCGCGTTGGGGCATCCCCCTCGGCGGCCCAGCGCTCGGTCTGTCCTCCGCCTCCCCCCCTCATCCTCCTCTCCTCATCCTCTCTTCCTCCTCCTCCTCCTCCCTCCTCCTCCCCATCCTCATCCTCCTCATCATCATCTCCATCATCATCATCATCATCATCATCATCATCATCATCATCATCATCATCATCATCAGCATCATCATCATCATCATCATCATCATCATCATCATCATCATCATCATCATCATCATCAGCATCATCATCATCATCATCATCATCATCATCATCATCATCATCATCATCATCATCATCATCATCATCCCATCATCATCATCATCATCAGCATCATCATCATCATCATCATCATCATCATCATCATCATCATCATCATCATCATCATCATCATCATCATCATCATCATCATCATCAGCATCATCATCATCATCATCATCATCATCATCACATCATCATGCATCATCATCATCATCATCATCATCATCATCATCATCATCAGCATCATCATCATCATCATCATCATCATCATCACATAATGCCAGGCGTTGACAGGGCGCAGGGGCGACAAATGGCCCAGAGCCCAGCGGTGGGGGTGTGCGGTGGCCCCCGCGTGCCCCGAGGGGCGACGGGGCCCGCGAGCCAGCGGCCGCGCAAGCTCGGGGGTCGTCATACAGTGGAGGCCAGTCCAGAAGCCTCGAAAAACAAAGATTCTATGAACATTAACTCTTGGCGCTCCGCGCGGATTCCTTGGATCTGCACTGGGCCCCCTCGGCGGCGCTTCCGGCGCCGCCCCTAATTAGCGCGCTCCAGGGAGGGGGGTCCAGCGCAAATCCAAGAAATCAGCGCGGAGCGCCAACAATTTCCGTTTACAGTAGGGGCCTGACCAAAATGAAGGGGCCCCAGAACACACAAATAAATACACACAAATAAAAATATTCCCCATGTTCCCATATTTTCTGAGTTTCTGTCTTCCCCCCCCACTTCCCATATGTTCGCATATTGCCTGGGGAATCGACGATTAATTGTCTGTGTGGTTTTTCCCCTCCTTACAAAAGAAACCTTCCACAAGAAACCCACCATTGAGACCCCGGGAAATCCATTGGTCTTTGGCGCGGGAGCGTCGCGCTCTCCAGAGCAAAACCATCGAGACCCAAGAAGCCCAGGGCATCCCGGAGGCAAGCAGGGTGTTTCTTGGCATGGGTCTCCACTGTGCGAGGGGCTGGGCAAAAGGGGAGGGGGGCGTCAAAATACCGAGGCGGGGAACAGAATTGGAACAGCGGATCGTGGCCCGGCGGCTCTTCGCCATGCAGAACCACGGTGCGGATCCAAGCGAGCTGGTTCAAGACACGTATCCAGAATGATTGAACCTCGGTTTGACATGCAAGGTCGACCGACCCCGAGCCACGATCTGAGAGTGGTATGTCCAGACGTCGAAGTCCCAGGGATTAGTGGAGCAGGGCCTGCCAGGGACATCCAAGGAACATTGGGCATTGGGTGACCCTTTCAATGTATTTGTTTCCTGGATGCACTCCTCGGAATCAAGTTGGATGCTGTTCTTCTTCCAAATACATAGGACACAAGCGCAAGTATCGGCGGTGGACAAACCTCCCTTTAATGAACATCCCCTTAGTGAAAACGGCCTGGGACCGAAACCGACGGACCTGGACCCGCAACAATGACGGCCACGACGTCCTCTCGCGAACCGGAAACGGCCAATTCCTTAATCGACGTGTCAGGGTAGGAGGTCTGTCAACCTCCGAAAAATATCAACAACGATGAACTGCAGGCAAAGCCGACCCCTGTCGATCATGACCCGACTGGACGTCTGGCAGGTGGGAGCTCCCAGAGGGCGAAACACTGGCAAAGAAACGTAATGTCAGAACGGTTCTGATACCGTCAAACTCGCCAAGTCAACCGTCAGAATGGATAGGGCCCCCGCCGGAAACAATGAAGCAAATTACAAACTGGGAACCGTCAGAGTGCCGCAGAGGCCCGTCAGAACGCCTGGGGAATCGTCAGAATGCCCCGGGGACCGTCAGAATGCCCTGGGGGCCATTCAGAGCAATTGTGGGTTTGGGATTCCCACGCCTCTGGAGGTCCACTGCCCAATTCCCGACCGTCAGAAGCCCGCTCCCCTCTCAGCCTCCCTGCTTCTACTCCGCACCTCCATCCTCCTCCCACTCTATTCCTCCGTCTTCATGCGCCCGTCCTCCCTCCTCCCTTCCCCCATCATCCTTTGTCGTCGTCGTTTCTCTTTCCCTCCCGCCACCCTCTCTGGCCATCCCCGGACGACAACACACCAGATGATATACATTAGCCACGCATGGCCGCGAGGGGTGCTGGATAAGAAAAGACAACAAAATAACTGGCCACCCCTCCTCCTTCCTTGCTTTTTCGCTGAGTGGGAGGGGGGGGGACCCCTGCTGATTTGCACTGGTCCCTCGAGGCTGGTCGCCGAGTCTACTCCGGCCCTCGGTTGCGACGGCCCCCTGGGGCCAGTAGCTCATGTCGGCGGCAAGCCCGGGGGGCAAGTGAAAAGGAGGAGGCCTCCTCAGAAAGCTCCGAAGCCCCACGGCCTTTCGAGAAGTCCTGCAGGCTTTCCCCGAAGACACAAACAAACTTCTCAGGAGACGCGGGTGCCTATGAAAAGCCCCGCCGTCTTCTCTTAAGGCCTTCTCTTGTTGATTACATTCAGAAACCAAGTTTTTGAACAAAACCTGTTTTGCAAATTCGAGAACCAATTTTTGTATTCAAAAACAAACTCTTTCCCACCCCCCGCTGGCCGCCGATCGCTGCGAGTGGCCAGCTCTCGAGTAGCCGTGGCGAGCCAAGCGGGGCCACGCAGGAGAGCCCAACACAGGGCACACAGGAAAGGAATGATCGCGCCGGAGGAGGTGGAGGAAGGAGGAGGAGGAAAGAGGAGAAGGAAGGAGGAGGACGAGGAGGAGGAAGAAGAAGGAAAAAACCGTGCACGTCAGAGGTGCATTGGCCATGCGGCGAAAATGTGAAACAAATTTACAAATTGAGCTGCCAGCCGCACTAATGATGTGAGACAGAAACAAACACATGAGCACGAATTGAACGACTACCCGGCGTCACAGTATGTGTGCACAGCGGAGAACCACGCCGTCGCCGAATGGGCTGTGTTGCGCAGGAGCGCAGGAAGGGCCTCCACACCCCCGGCAGCTGCGCAGGCATGTCGGTAAATCTCTTGCGGCCAGGTCTTCCTCGGGCGCCCCCGTTTCCTGTTTTCGGGCGGACCCGCCAGCAGATGCGAAAACGGCTGGAAAACTGCGAGGCGCACGGCATCGTCGCCTGGCTTCCTGGCGATGTGCCCCAAAAAGGTCAGCTGTTTACGAAGGAGTGAATTGCTCAGAAAGCGCGCCCCCGACCGCTGGAGCACGACTGCATTGGGGACTCTGCTGATGTATGAATGTGGGGTCCGGAGAATCTTGCGAAGACACCGTGCCTGAAACGCATCCAGACGACAATTCTTTTGCTTGTTCAAGAAGGCATTGTGGAGACAGTATAACAGTTATCGCTACGTCTCAGGGGGCAGGCGGGGGGCCAGCGAAGCTGACAGGATGCGCAGTGTCTGACAGCGGGACGCGCAGCAACGCCGCGAAGCGGCCTTTGAGGAAGTACTGTTTCAACCACACACTGCACGAGGGCCCAGACGGGCCAAAGATATATATATAATCATTCATCGGGAGGCCGATTGAGATCCATAAAACCTCAACCAAATCACAACCAACAAAAACTCGAGGTGCGATCGGCATCAGAAGATTCTCAGTCCCACGCGTCGTGAGAGCAGGGCCGGGCAAAGCGTTCAAACAGGGAGGGAAGCTTCAGCGGGCGCGAAAGACAAGCAGGGCAGGACGAGGGATATAACCTGCACTACTATCTTACACGGCCCACCCCCACCACGCCACCCCGAGACGCGATCAATTAAGTTTGGAAAGCGATCATTATCGCTACGTCTCAGGGGGCAGGCGGGGGGCCAGCGAAACTGACAGGATGCACAGTATCTGACAGCGGGACGTGCAGCAACGCCGCGAAGCGGCCGATGAGGAAGTACTGTTTCAACCACACACTGCACGAGGGCCCAGACGGGCCAAAGATATATATATATATATATAATCATTCATCGGGAGGCCGATTGAGATCCATAAAACCTCAACCAAATCACAACCAACAAGAACTCGAGTTGCGACCAGCATCGGAAGATTCTCAGTCCCACTCCCGCATTCGACGTGCCTGGCGTAGCCGACAAAAACTACACGTTGTGGCCAGGGCGGGCGGGCGGGGGCCACAGCGAAGAAATTCACGCGAACGGCCGAGCTCACCGTGGGGCGGTGGTCGCGCCCGTAAGCCGCCACCTCTAGGGGCCCTCGTATGGCGCCCCTAGCCGCCCGCATGGGGCGCCCCCATTTGGCCTGTCGCCTCACTCTGTCCACCATCCAGTTCCCTCTCCCCACGTCTCGTCGGAGTAGAGGTCGTCGGACTCTGGGCAGCTTGTGTCGCCCTTGGTGGACCTCTTGTTGGTGGTGGTCTTCTGCTTCTGCTTTGTGGTGGGTCCCAGCATCAAGAGCTCTGCGGCGACATCTTTCACCTTCTTCGTCTTCAGATTCGTCCTGATGCCGTCGACCAGCTGCTGCTGCTGCTTGCTGTAGTTGGCGCGGGACTCCATCGCACGGAGTATCTCGGCGGCTAGGTCTGAGGTCGCACGGGAGCCCACGTCCAGCACTTTCTTCGGCATTTTTGCACGGAGCTGCGTGAGGGCGAACGTCTTGGAGTACCGTTGGACGCTGGACAATGCCTTCCACCTGCCCCGCCTCCGCACCTGCTCTAGGCTGGCCCGTCCTCGGGCCACGTCCTCGCTGGGCCCCGAGTGGCGGAGCCCGTGCGGAGGCGGCGCCCAGGGCATCCCAAGCGAGCGACATGCGCGGCGCCACTCTTTGCGGAAGCCTGCCTGCTTGGGGCCGAAGATGGGCCCCGTGACATTCTTCTTGACGCCCTTCAGGGCCAGGATGAGGCTCGCGACCGTGCCGCGGCGGATGACGACCCCTTGGTTGCTGCCCGTCCTGCCCTCCTCGCCTCGGGCCGAGATGCCAAACAGGAGGCCCACGCATCGGCCATCCCAGATGACGCCGGCCTCGCGTAGCATCTCCATGTCCTGCCCCCGCCCGTAGACGTCGCACTGCACAAGGGTCCAGATGGCTTCATCCAGGAGCCCCGCCTCGAAGAAGTAGATGGCGATGGCGAAGACAGCTTCCTCAGGCAGAGGACCCCCTTTCCACAGAGATAACCAGCCTCTGCCAGCTCTGCAGGCTTCGCAAGGCCAGGGGAAGCTGGTTCCTCAGCTCAGGCCAAATCGCCAGCAGCCCGAACAAGACGATCGACCCCCACGTAGGACGGAGCCAGCCCTTGTAGCACTTCATGTCCATGTAGTCGGCCAGGGCGTGGCCCACGGCGTTCGCGGACCGCAGCTCCCAACCCTTGTCGACACAGTGGCTAAGAAAGTCTCGAACCTTCGGGGCCCACTGCGCCGCGGTGACGTCCGCCACGGAGTGGGTAAGCAGCCTTGTGAAGCCGCCCTCGCTGATGCCCAGGTGCGGCTCCTTCTCGTAGTTCTCCCACGCCCGTGGCCCTCGCTTCTGCAGGGGGATGTCTCCCGCCCTGGGTGGCTTCGGGCGAACCGCTCCAACAGGGTGGACTTCCTCCAATGCCATGGCGGCTACCCACCAGCGCATCCCGCACAGGCGCGGCCCAGGTCGCGTAGATCGTGACCTCGGCTGTCCGTTGGAGCGGGGCGTCGGTCGCTGTGAGCTGCCACCGTCTCGGGCGCCGCGCCGAGGAAGCCCCCCCGAGAGAGGCCGTCGGCGACGTTCAGCTCCGACGGGACGTAGCGGTAGTACCCATGAATCGCGAAGCTCATGGCGATCGCCGCCGCCTGGCGGCACAAGCGCATCAGGGCTGGTGAACTCGAGCGGCCCTTGCCCAGGGCCCCCAGAGCCACCATGCTGTCTGTGAGGATCAGGACCTTCCGCCTCCACATCCGAAATGATCTGGCCATGTGTCGCAGCAGGCCCACCACGGCCCGCGTCTCGTTGATGTTCGCGTGCTCCGTGATCCTCCACCCCCCGAAGTAGAGCGGCCGCCATCTCGCGATCGGCATCCAGGCGGGGGACAGCGGGGGGACTCTGACTCGATCGCCCCGCCCCACCTCGATCCTCGCCCTTCCCGGCCTCGGCGGGCCGAAGGACGAAGTGGATGGAGACACGCGCGAGCCCGTCGGATCGGGGCCACTCATCTCCTTCGTCATGCGGGCGAACGCCTCGATGATCACCTCCGCCAGCGCGGCGCACAGCGGCGGCTGGCACGCCTGGGCGGAGGCGGTGCAGAAATCGGGACGGCCTCGCTCCGCCCGTCCCATGAGTACTGTCTGATGCCTCCCTCGGTGGTTGCACCTCAAGCAGAGACGGTCCGCGGCGAGGTCCAGTGCGTCGTCGTAGAACCCGAAGATGACAATCATGGTCGGCTTCATCGACGGGGCTCCGTAGCGGCACTGGTCGATCCGATTGATCCTCCCGCGCGCCTCCTCGAGGAGGCATGCCATCTCGGGTAGGTTCCAGATTGACGGGTATGGGTCCTCCTCTGGGTCCGCAGGGCGCCCCATCAAGCCCAGGCCTCCAGCTCGACATACCTCGCGGACCGCCTGCATGGCCGACAGCAAAAGGCGCGACCCTAGGTCCAGGCGGAGGCGCTCGAAGGCTGTGAATGACATGTCGCTCCGCCCCCAAGGCTCGAGGCGTGTCCGTAAGGGCCTGGGCCCCTTCCACAGGAAGCGAGCCCGACTCCAAGTTGAACATGGGGGCGAGGCGATCACTGCGTGGAAGTACCCGTCGCGCGCCAGGCTCAGGATCAGGCTGACGAACTCGTCGTTGGTGAGGTCGTGCTTCGGGTTGATCACCGCGTCGATGGACCAGACCTCGACCTCGTAGCCGTCGCGCTCCGCCCGCGAGTGGATGGCCCCCTCTAGATCCCCCTCCCGGCGCCTGCCCGCGAAGAGGTACAGCACCCGGTAGACCCTCCGACTTACCCGCGGCGGCGGTGCAGTCGAGGCCTCGATACACTCGTCGACGTCGTAGGCACACCCCCCAGCGTGGGGGGCCCAGGCGTCCTCCTCCTGGGCTGTGTAGATATCCTCGGGGGCATTCGTCCATCCCCTCATCTCGCTGTAAAGGGCGTCCTTCCTGACTTCCTCCAGCGAGGCGTCGGTGACCGCCACTCCGTAGCCCGTGTCGCCGGAGTCCGTCATGAACACCTGCCAGAGCCACGGAGCTTCGAGGTCTGTACGTAAGAGGGGTGCGCAGTATGCCATCGTAGTCAGATCCCACCTCGCCGCGTCCGTCAGTCGGAACGGCGTCTTGGCGGTCTCGGGACGTCTCATCTCGTGGTACACCTGGTCGAAGATGGCGAGGCCCGCGCGCTGGAAGATGGCCGCCCACGCCCACAACCCCGCGACGCGCTCGAGGAGCTCCGCGGTCCAGTACGTCCGCTCTACCAGCCGCAGCGTCACCAGAGCCAGGCCGCAGGTGCGGTCGGTCTCTGCTGAGACGGAGTAGGGTCGGCCTCGGATGACCGCCCCCAGCGACTCGAGCCCCTCGCCTTCGGTCTCCTTGTGGACGGGGAGCCCGACCTGCCTCAAGTAGTGCTTGACTCGGGCCGTCAGTCCGCTCACGACCTCGCTCACCGGCTGCTGCGCGCTGGCGGACGTGGCCATGACCCCGTAGTCGCCCATGTACGCCCAGTTCACCGACTCGAACCCCTCGGGCCCGGTCAGTTGAGGCGTCGGAGCCCCATAGACCAGACGCGCGCCGACGGAGTCCTCCCCGAGCCCGCGCGCCACGCAGGCCTGCTGCGTGGAGTGGGCCAAGAACGGGGCCCACGACCAGCCCATGACTAGGACCTTCAGCGCCAGGAAGGGCCCGCCATCGGGGATGACGCAGTCCCGCCCCTTGGTCCTCATGTAGTCGACGAACTCGTGGACTGGCACCTCCTCCAAGACAAAGTAGGGCCAGACATCGGGCGGCGTCTCCCAACGATAGAACATGTCCGGGATGTCGCCCACGCCAGTGTAGACCACGCCCCTCTCGCCCAGGTTGGAAAGGTCCACGTGAGCAAAGGTCGCGGGGCTGCCGAGGGGCACGTAGGGGGGCCTCTGCCAGCGGAGGTTGGCCCGCCTCTGGTCCCAGATGGCGCGCGCCTGGCGCCTGGCGGGGCCGAGGGGGTCCCCCTCCTCCTGCAGGTACTTCTTGATGACTCCGAAAAGCGAGACCCCCTCGACCAGCTCGTCGGTGGTCCCGAGCATCCCCGCATCCCAAAGCCTCCCGGCTAGGCGGAGACGCGACGCCCTCGATCGGAGAGACGGATCTCGGTAGACATTCTGGCCCTTCAGCTCCTCGTCCATGGCCTTGCTGGGCTCGCGTAGCACCCCCCCCGCAACGTCGGAGAAGTACTCGGCGGCCAGCAGGCAGATGTCCACGAGCTCGGCAGGGATGGTCCCTGGCGGCGGAAGAGCCAGTTCCTCCACGTCGACGGAGCACATCGCGCCCTTTGGTAGCATCAGTCGAAAACAAGCTGGTAAGCTTAGGTATACAGTCCGCCTTAGGCGCTTCCATATCCCAGGCTTAGGCTCATAGCGCATGAGCAAGAGAGCGAGACGAAGCATGGGATCTGGAGTAAAGAGTAAGATGGGCATCGTCAATGGAAAAGGATGTTTTCCGATCTCGGATGCAAGTAGTGCGCCTCAGTGAGGCACAGTCACATATCTGGCCGGGCCCGGCTTGAGCCAGGCACGACAGCGGTACATGCTCGATTTATATCTCGCCTTTAACCTTCTCCGTTTAAAGTCGGAGGGGGAGGAGACGAGCAGGTACCGCACTACTATTATGCGGAAAAACAGTGCTAAGCAGCAGCGGCTGCCTACAAGGAAAGGGGCGCGCGAGTAGCCTCGCTACCGGCGAGTTTCCTCGCTGCTAAAGCGCACCTGCCCGCGGGTTTCCCCGCTGGCTCGGGAGGCAGGGCCGTCCTGAGACGACCTGCTCGCCCTATACGGTGTATGTTTCTTCAGCTCGTGCTTGAAGGATTGCTGGCCGGCCATTACTTGTAGGAGTAACGCGCGGACAATGCTACCTTTGGTATGACCATCGGCAGTCATATCCCGCGTGTCACACCATTGGACGCTTTCCACGATTCCACGTTCCATCATCTGGCGAATCCAGCTGATGTGCCCAAGCAGAGTACACTCTGTGGGCTTCTTCAGATCCTTGCTAGACAAAGATTTGAAGACAGACTTTGATACATAGACCACCCATTTCCAATATGTTCTTCAACTGTGTGGGGGTCAATGGTCCCGAGTGTAGCTCGTGGAGCGTTACAATGGTCGGGTAGCAGTCTTCCAAGTTGTGGGCTGCTGCCAGTGTTTCCGCAGAGTAGCTCGAACGCACTTGCAGTCGATGAGACTTGCAGTATGCGTCTACCAGGTGCACGACGGGTTTCCCCGCTTGCGTGTGGCCACGCCTCAGCAGGTTCGCCCCGCGGATACCGTAGCCTTTGACTTCGTCGTCTTCATCTCCGTTGAGACGACGATAGCCAGAATCGCTATGCAGGTCGACTTCTCCTGTTGGAGTCATAGCATGATACACGATCTTCTTCGGTCCTGCCTGCAATTTTCTGGTAACCGCGTTTAGTCGTCGTACCTGGATGTTTGTCGGTTCTTGGATACGTTGTAGTGAGACAACATAGACCATTAGCCATACCTGCGTGATCAACGCATAGGCTAGAGCGCCACGAAGACTAACGAACATATCAGAAATTGTCTTCGTCGCCTTGCTTTCAGGATCAGCTCCTGTGAGTTCTGGATGTGTAATAGGACGAAGCTGTTTGATGTATTCGTCCTGATCGAGAGTGACGCTCCCATCATCGGTCTTGTTGTACCGAACAGCACAGTTCGTGTATGTGTGCTTGTTCAGTTTGCACTTCCCAAACGTATCTTCAACACACTTGAAATACTTGTCGATAGCCTCTTCCTTCCCAGTCATATTGATGTCATCAACGTGCTTGGCTGTCAAGAGGTTTGGGCTCATCTCGAATTCTTCGTCGTATGAAGTAGGCTGTAGCCCAAAGCTCCTAGTGATGGACCTGAGCTTCAGTGAGAACGCCCTGGGAGCATCCTTCGTGCCTGTCCCCGGTTTCAGACACCGGAGACAATGCTTTGATTCGTCATATGACTCAAAGCCTGGCAGTGTGCGAAGGACAGCTGCAGATCCAGGTGGTAGTGTGAAACACACCTCACGTTCTTTCTCGCCCGTTGCCGCGGCGAGCTCGCCATAGGTCAGTCCCTTCAAGAAAGCCATGTTGATGTCCAGGGAAGCGATGATCCAAGCTTTGTTGCATGCAGCAGAACTTGCGAGCAGTTTCTGGCTTGACCTCCTTGCCGTGCCAGAGAAGGTTTCGACATCAAAGGCTTCAAGGTCCATGAAGCCACGGAGTACCAAGCGTAACCTGATCGTCCTTTCCATTTCGCCCTTTTCGTTCTTGACAAACTTCCATTTGTATACGTAGCGTGACGTCATGATGTTAGACGCCTTGCTTAAGTCAGTCATCTGGAAGCATTTGTTGTCAAGCAAAGTCTTCAGTTCTGTGTAGAGGGCTTTGGAAACTTTGACCGGATTTGCTTGGATGTCGGCCTTCGTGAGTAGATCGTCTTCCTTGACGACCACGGCACGTTTGGAGGCAGCGCTAACGTATACTCGCATAGTTGACGCTGCTGTCATCCAACAATCGGTGTTGCTGCTCGGACAGGGCGACTTTGGACCATGCTGCAGTGAAGAAAAAAAAAAAAAAAAGAAAATAAGAAGAAAAAAAGAAAAAAAATCCAAAAAAAAAAACGAGAAAACAAAAAAATTTGAAAGGGAAAAAAAAAACAATAAAGAACAAACAAGAAAAAAAAAACAAAAGAAAAAAAAAAAAAAAAAAGAAAAAAAAACGGAAAAAAAAAAAAAAAACCAAAAAGAAAGAAACAAAAAAAAAAAACAAAAAGAGAAATAAAACAAAAAAAAAGAAAAAAAAAAAAAAAAAACACGAAAAAAAAAAAAAAAAAAAAAAAAAAAAACAAAAAAAAAAAAAGCAGAGCTCGATATACTTCCCGTGATCATCGGAGTCCAGATCATATTTGCTATCCGGTTCCGTGGAGCATAAAGGAACGTAGTAAGAAGTGTCCATGTCGTATCCTGGCGGGTGACCCCGCTCCGGCAAGTGGCCTTGCACATCTTCACAGGTCGTAGAGACTAATACACACTGTGTATCTGTCATGTATGTAGGAACTGTATGCATGACTTCCTCTGTGTCAGCTTCAAGGAGTGTTCTGTCATCCATCAGTTCAGCATACCACGACTTCAAGACAAAAGCATCCAGATCTTCTTCTGTCTCCTCTCTGATGGTCGGAAGCCGACCATCGTTGTCCGTAGGAGGCTCCTCAGGAGCAGCTGCTGGAGGTGATTCGCTTGGTGGTGGACCATCAGCGAGTTCCTCAAACTTAGTGAGATCTTGGTCAAACCCAGCAGACGGCTTCCTGGATTTAAGACACTGGATGATGCGTGAGTGTGTGGATCCTGTGATGTCATAGATGTTCAAGGCAGTGCCATCAGCTTCGTAGTAATGAAACCCAGGGGTCACATCGTTATCATAGTGCACTAGTGTACAGCTGTCTGCATAGGGTGCAGCAGGCAGCTTCGTCAGGCTCTTGGCGAGTCGTACAGCAACAACGTTTTCAATACGAAAGTAGTTGCGTATGAGGTGCTGAAGAGCCAAGTGCACCTTAGGTGAAAGTCGGCTCGCAGCAGTCATCTGCAGCCGACCCTGTTTCGTTGGTAGATATCCAAAAGTCATGGCGGGTTTCCCCGCTGGCAGACCGGCAATAAAGGCCAATACTGTTCGAAGGGCCGTATTGTCCGATCCTATTTCGCGGACCATAAGTGCTTCGATGTACAGTGTGTGTCGTGTGTCAGGATACTGTACTCGTACTTCGCGATTGCCGACCTTCACGATGACCTGGCCTCGGTCAGGTTCGTTGCGGATGACCGGGTATGGACCACTCCATCCACCCCAGTCGTCTTTCGTGGTGGTCGGACGGTGATAGTCCACGAGATCTCCTTCTTTATAGTGAAATTCACCCGTAGCAGTAGTCTTTGTACGGAGAGCCCTGTTCGTCTTGGCAACCGCAGTGGCCTGCGTAATTGCCTCCAGACTAACCCTCCTGATTGTTTCCTCCCTTGAGTGATCTGATGATTCAGTGGGCTGATCATGATCCAAGACAGGGAAATCAGGAAGCATAGCTGGCTGTCTACCATACAGCGCATTGTACGGAGACACTTCATTGTAGAAGGTAAATGCGTTGCTGGCAAACAAGGCTTCATGTAAGAGACGAGTGAAATTGAGAGGGATATGTAATCTATTCAATTCTTCTCCCATCACGTGTAGGAGGTGTCGAAGAATGCCGTTCCTAGCTTCGATAGTTGTAGCGTGTTGGCCACGCGCTCGAATACGAAGCTCTGTTCCCTTAGCCTTAAGGATGGCCTTTGCTGTATCATTATTCAGTGCTCCTTCCCCATCGGAGTATAAGATTTTAGCAGGGCCATGCTGCATCCAATTCGTATGATAGGCATCGAGAACAGTATGCATAGCTTTATCAGGAATCTCTGTGCCAGCTGCCCAGCGAATACAACGGTCGATGATGTGAAAAACAATATGTTCCTGTTTATAAAAGAAGAGATCACATTCGACTTCTTCGTTGAAACGTCCTGGCAGTGACACGGACGGCATCACCGTGTTGCCTGGTTTATCCCAGGCTCGACATTCTCTACACGAGTCACAAATGCCTTTGATCAGACTCAAACGGGTTTCACCCAGACCAACCTTGGTTAGAATCATCCGCATTTTTGGCTCCTTGGCATGAAACCATCTCAGGTGGAGTTTGCTGAGTTCTCGCTGCACTACAGCTGGGTCGAAGCTGCGCAGGTTTTGGAGGCTGAGCTGAACGTCGAAGCGAGTCCAATCAGGGAGCCTTGGCCTTGGCCTCGGCTCTGCTTGAGGCTGCGGCGGTGGTGGAGGATCTCCTCCCTCCATGCGTCCGCGCCTTGCTGCAACTTGTGGCAGTCCACGGTGATCGTCAGA